TCTGAGTATTTTTAGAGACGGTTTCAAGGATTCTGGATTTCAGCTGTTTGCAGTGCTTTATTAAGCTTAACTCTTGTATAATTTTAGCTTAATAACTTTGATTTTCTCCACTTTAATGCACAGAAGTTGGTCTGGATGTATGAAAGAGGATTTCCTTTTTTATTTCTTTATGCGTCTTCTCAGATCCAGAAGGTCCTGGACCTCAGATTAATTGTTTCAGAACCAGAACGTCATCATCTGTGACTGCGGCTCTGATCTCACCGTTTCCAGCCGAGTTGTGATCCTTTCAGTGAGTAACAATTAAAATCACCTAAGTGCCCCGCGCCTTGCCGCCATGTCGCCGTCGTGCATCAGAGCCGTGCGACTGCTTTTCTCACACATTCAGCACACCTGGGAGATTTAGCCTAATGAATACCTGATGTGCTGAAGCAGTTAATTCCGCCTATAAAATTCCTCCCTTCCTCCTTCCTGTGAGCCACGGCTGCTGTTTATCAAACGAGGTAACGTCCTGTCATGTGACCCCCCCCCCCATCTAACTCCCACCTGTGTGGACTTCTCCTTTAATCCTCTCTTCTACCCCCCCAACCTCATTTTTTTATTTTTCTCCATGCTTTGAACACTTAGACTACTGAGTGTAACTAATTCTCCCACACAAGGATATTGTCTTTTCTCTATCTCTGCTTTTGTCCTGCTCTTTCAAGGCTCCTATTCACTGATTTCATTAGTCAGCTGTGTGGTGGGCTGGGGGGCGGAGGGGTGCAGGCAGAGGGGCTTTCCAATTAAAGGGCTTTAATAGCCTATTACCATCACCTCAGGTTTAACTCAACTGTTTCTAAAACATGAAACCAGCTGAAGATTAATCGTCAGAGCTGCGTGGGAGCCGCTCACATATAAATTTTAGAATACTTTTAGCAATTTTCTGAATTGCAAATTGCTGCTTTTTCGCGTTAGTGAGCTGAAGGTGGGTTTAATTTAGGGGTGTCCAAATTTCTTTTCAAGTCAGGTCAAAAGAGGCACAAGAAAATATAAGTTTCAGAAACTAAAATCACCCAATATGCTGTGGTTTTAGTTTTTTACCCACGATAAAGTGCAAGGACTATTTTTCTGGGGAAAAAAAATAAGATTAATGAGATTTGATTTTTAAAAATGAGATTGCATATCCAAAACTACGAATGGTTTTTGCACATTTATTTTGTTACCTAAGAAGTGTCCGGTTTGCTTTTTGGAGAAAATATGGACAGGATTCAGGTGAGTCTTCATTTGAAAACACCAGCTGTGTTTCCATTACAAATCTGAGTCAAAAAAAAATCGATATTTTGCTTATGTGAAAAAAATTACAGCAGAATTATGTTTTAGTGTAAGTCTGTAATGACAACAGAAAGAAACCAAAAATGTTGGGAATTTCTTCTCTGTGTTGCATCTAACATTTTGTAAGCATAGTTTAATTTAAAAGTTGTATCTTTGTCCTAATTTGTCCGCAGAAAACGAGTTCAGGTGCCACAAATGGCCCCCGGGCCCCGCTTTGAACACCGTTGGTTTAAATGTACACACATGCTGCACAGATCCTGCAGCTGCTTTGAGGGCCCACAAGACGACGCCAGTCCCCTGGGACGGCACAGCCACCCTTTCTCAGGCACCCATTTGTTGCGTCCAGAACCCCAGCCGACCTCCCTTCAGCCATCCCCACCGGTAGGTGACCCCTCAACCAGCAGAGGTCAACTGTGCAGAAGGAGCCGCGGCATAAATCAGCGGCCGCTCTGGTACGCGGGAACCCTGCCCCGGTCAGGGTCCCAGCACCAGCCTGGCACCATCTGTCCCGGACCGGTGACGCAGAACCAGAACCGCCAAGGTGGGTTCCCACTGACCTGCACTGGCCCACGCAGACCTGACGGGCCAGAGCCGGGACCAGACACAGATCCATCACTGCTGGAGCCGGACTCTGGAGGAAAACGCTGCAAAAACACTAAATAATATCAAGTACTTCAAGTCTTGTTTCTATTGCAAATAACTAAATACACCAGGAATAAGAAAACTAACTGACAAGGAACTTCTCACAAAGTAAAAGAGCTGGTTTTACATAAATAATTAATATTAATAAAAAGTTCTAGTTCCACTGGCAGATTTTTTCACTAATGACATTTTTCCCATAAGTGAAATAATCTGGCAGTTCTTTTATATTAAAGAATTATTGCCTTAAAGCTAGCTAGTATATCTTACTGAGAAGTTACTTGAAACTTAGTTTTGTCTTATTTGAAGTAAACTGAGACATTTGCACCAGAAACCAGATGAAAAATACCTGGTAAGTTTATGTTTTTGCGGTGAAGGAGCAGCAGTTTTAGAAGTTCAGCTCTGAATGTTTGTAAGAATAATGTGAAATAAAAATTTTGTAATTCAAAAGATTAAAATGACTACAAATGTCTGGACTCCAATTTAGTTAAGAATTTAAAAAATGTTTGTAATTTATATTAAAAAATAAGTAGATGAAATTAATGATTGATATTAACGCTATTATTTGTCTTCTGTTTAAAATGTAGAAACAATAAAATTTCCTCTAAGAAAAGTAATCCACTTCCATTTATAAACTTTTAATTTTTACCTTTAGGCATAAAATTTTACTTTTGGCATAAACTTTTACTTTAAAAGTTTAATTTATTTAGATAAAGTAATTTATCTATAGAATGGCCTCTGTTATTTTTTGTGTGCTACTTTCGGTGATTTTTTTTTTTTTTAACCAAAAGTTAATATTAAAACAAACTCTTGATGGAGAAGAACAAAGTCAGAAAGTTTGAAATATTTAATCTGTTGATTTAAAAAAACTGTTGATGACAAAAAGAAGAAGAGCCTGAATATTTCTCTCTCAGACAGTTTTCTGAGTGTGAAGTGTGAATTATTTACCTTCTTGGGAGATATAAAAATGAGTTTTCTGGACAGTTTGTCTCCAAAGTGAAAGGTATTTTCAAGCAGAGCCGCTCTGGGTCACCATCTCCTGCTCTGACCCGACAGAACCTGTCATTTCGCTGCAGAACCGCCTCTAATGAACGGGTGATGTACTGCTCACAGGGAAAACAAGCCAACCTGTTAAGTGCAGAGACACTCGTTTCCTCTGTTGGATCGTAACACCACCTGGAATCGTAACGCATAAATCTCCCCAGCAGCAGCAGGAGGTCTGCAGGCGCTCCAGGCCCCGGGTCGATCCGCAAGGTCGATCCGCAAGGTCGATCCGCGGGCCCCGGGTCGATCCGCAAGGTCGATCCACGGGCCCCGGGTCGATCCGCAAGGTCGATCCACGGGCCCGGGTCGATCCACGGGCCCCGGGTCGATCCGCAAGGTCGATCCGCAAGGTCGATCCGCGGGCCCCGGGTCGATCCGCGGGCCCCGGGTCGATCCGCGGGCCCCGGGTCGATCCGCGGGCCCCGGGTCGATCCGCGGGCCCCTCTTGGCTCTAATGAGTGCCAGGGGTCATAAACTGGTTGTGTTCTTGTTTGCCTCTTTCTAGACCAGTGACACCAGTTGTCCTTCCTCCTCACCAGAACCTTTTGCTCGGCCTGACAGGCCGTGGGGTCCAGGCCCAAGACGGTGGTGGAAGTCGACACTCGGCACCTCGAGGAGCCGCTTGTCATCAGCTAACAATAACTCTGTTGGAGGGAAACATACAAATTCTGCTTTATTGACACAAAGTTGTTGATTTAAACCTCAGAGGCCCGTTTTCCTCACGCCAGACTCCAGCTGACACTTTAGCTGTTGTCTCATCTTCCTCGCCTGGCTGAGCAGGTGATTTTTACCCGTCATCGTGTCATAAAGTTAACACAGGAACTACTTCATAGTGAGAGGACAGAAATAAATGCCCCCACACGCAGGACAACTGGAAACCAGAACAAACTCAATGACTTTCTGCATCTTTAAATCTGGTTTTTACTTATTTACGTGAAAACTCACATAAAAAAACATTCAATATGTTTAGACTTTATAGTATCAAAACTTTTCCTTCTGAATCAACAGATATCATCTTAATTTTAACGCCTAGTTTATGATTAGATTTTATCTCAGATTTGCAAATATCTAATAAAAAGTGAGTTAAGATTATTGTTAGTTTGTCTTTAAAGAAGATAATTAAAATATGTTTAAACATCCGCCGCAGTTGGTCGTTTTGTGAGCATATACTGCCCCCTTGTGTCAAGTCAGCAGGACTGACACCACCAAAGAATGATCAATAAGTCAGATCGATTGTCTATATACTGAAACCCAGTGGTATCTAAACTAACTGAATTCTCTTTTACCTGAACAATAAATAAAACATGTAATGTTTCACATTTCCCTTCATGTTTCCAGTCATTTACATTTTTGAATTATTTTCCATTTTGTAAGTTTATAAAACATTTGCTGTGTTTAGCAAAGTATAATAAATGAATAAGACCATTTCTGATTTTGACTTAAAAGTCACTGGATGTTTGTGGCACAGCTTACTGAGATATTGAAAAGACAAAATTACAGAAAAAAGTGATTTTGTAAAGACCCTTAGAACTTTACTCATATTTTGTCATTTCAAAAACTTAACATATTTGCATTTTTACTTGGATTTATATGGCAAACCAACAGGAAGCGGTGCAAAATAATGAAGTGGAAGGAAATAAAAATCTAAAACGTGAAACAAATAGTTATAGTCAACCCCCTTTACACTGACACCCCAAATTAACTTCTAATACAAGAATCACCAGTAAACCAGCATAACGTTATCCTCAGTTTGACCTAAAAATAAATATACTAGCTGACTTAAAGGTTTCATTTAACAAAATAATATGCGAAAAACATAAAACATTGAGAAAAAAGTTAAAGGGATTATTTAACTGATAGAAAAGGTTTGGGTTTTAAATCAGCATCACTGCAAACAGCATTCTGTCTGAACTGAAACGTTCTTGACTTCAACTAGAAATAAACCCAAAAGCTAATAATTTCCCTCACAAGCAGGCATTTATGCAAATAAATCTCTTTCAAAATGAAAGTGAATCTCAGAAATCACTTTTATTTACATTCAGCAGCAGAAAAGCACAGGAGACCAACCTGATTATTCTCATCTGCACTCAGTTTTACACCAACATCAGGGAAATCATGGCAGATTCAATCATTTTACCTTCAGAGCAGATAAAACCAAAGAGCAGCTTGTGAGAGTCCAGAGCTTCATTCCCGCCCAGCCTTCAGCTTCTCCTCCACAGTGCGGTCGTTTTTCGAACCCCCCATGCAGGGCGGGCTCTTGCCCAGAGCGGGGTCCGCGCCCCACTGCTCAGGGGTTTTCGCCTGGATGGCCAACGCATGAACACAGCTACTCAGTTCCTCCTTCAGCGCCTCATTGACCAGACGGTGGCGCTGAATCAGCGGCAGACCCACAAACTGCGCGCTGACCACCAGGACTCGGAAGTGGGACTCGGATCCGGGGGGAACCGCGTGCATGTGGCTCTCGTTGTGGACCTCCAAATGGTCAGGCTTAAACGTTTCTGTCAGTTTGGTTCTGATGGTTGTTTCAACGGGTCGGTTAGGGTCCGGGTCCATGGGGGGTCTGAAGTGAGCCAGAGGCCGAGCTACAGAGAGGTAGATGGGCCGAGTGCAGCGGGAGACACTGGGAAGCATCGGCCACTGTGGAGGAGAACAAAAACAGATTTATTAATCTGATCATGAGGGACGTTTCATTTTCATCCTCCTGTTCCAGCTGGGTCAGACTCTCTGGTACAGTACCAGACTGACTTTACAAAAACATCAAACACCTCATTTAATCGATACTTGTGAAAACCAATAACAGATGTTGCATTTTGTCAAGTTCCATTGTTAGAATCATCGATACACATCGAATATGTTGGTCATTTTGTCGACTGAAATCTGGGTTTATTGATGCACCCAGACATTGACATTCAGAGACACATAAAGACAGTTATAAAGTCGACCTTCTATCACCTGTAGAACATTTTTCCAGGATTAAAAGACTAATGTTCCAGCAAGATCTAGAGAAACTCAACTGCAAAGCTGCTGAAACCCTGAGTTCCTTTAAATGGGAGCTAAAAACCAGTTTGTTTAAAGCTCCATTAGATTAATGACTATAATATTTATATTAGTCTATATTTCAAGTTTTCATTACTTTCCTTTATTATGCCATGTTTTCATCATTCTCAGATGTTTTGTTTCTGATGCTCTGCTTTACATCTTAAAACTTTACATCTTAAAACGGAATCATCCGCTCCATTAACCATATTAACCATATCAAATTAAATACAGAAACAAAGCACACAGTACAAAACACAGCACAAGCCCATCTTTCAGCACTTATTACTTGAAATGTCAGAAACTCTTAACTTTGATTTTACCAAATCAAGATGGACAGAAAATAACATCTAAGGAGCTTTAAAGCCGATTTACAGCCACAAGCAGTTTATGAGTCTTTGTAATGATAAGAAAGGAACGACATCCTGATTGTTTTATAATGTTAGCTTACCTTGTTTAGCCGCTTGCTAGCTAAGCAGCCGCTACTACTTAGCCTGTAAGCTAAACACAGCAAAACATACATAAATAAACCACTAACATGAAGAAACAAATCATGTTCATCAAACTCTCAGTTTGGTAAAATGCCCCCACAATGTAAAACACTCACCTTTCAAAGGGAAAAACAGCGTGACTTCTTCTTCTTTTACGTTTTATGACGGATAGCTGCAATGCTGCCACCTGCTGGATTCCCCCTGCGGGTCCGCTCCTTTACAGCTCACCGGTACGTGAGCCGCGCAGAAATGAAAACGCAGACAAAATGAGCCCTGAAGGCTCACATTTTCCTTATAATTAAGCACTACTAAGATAAATACGCAATATTTTTTCAAAAATATAAACAACTAGAAATCCCCGGCTGATCAATATGCTAAAATCAGACTGAGGTGACCTAAGTAAACACAAAATATGATTTTTCAGGAGATGATCTCATTTATGGAATGAATCTATCTATACTAACTTGGCCTTTGTGAAAAAGTAATTATCTGAATCACTGTTGCTCCGTTTGATGCAAGGAATCAGCAGATCTAGTCAAATTTCTTGCTACATAATGTCAATCTGTATATTTTCATACAGCACACAGAGCAAGATTATTTCTTCAGGATCACATGACCACCGTGATGGTTGGAACACAAATGGACCAGAAAATCAACTTTACTCTTTACTTTACTCATTTCTTATCCATATCTTCTGCAGCAAAATTTAAACAAGCTACAACATGTTTTCCTTCAGCAGGGGAGTCTAGTGCAGTGAGACAAATATGTAATGGCACAGAGGCCATTATGTGTACTTATACATATATTGGCAATTTAAATAAACGGACTTTCCATCTATCTTTTCCACTTGTTTATTGTTCATTATTTCCATAACGTTTTGTTATAGTTCCAAAGGATCGCATCAAAGTGTGATCCTGATCAAAAATCAACATGGAGAAATCTCACACACCTCTAAACAAAACTGCATCTGCACTTTTAATCTAACTAGGATCCATAACTGGTGTTTGACATTGATGATTTTACTGTATTATCTCATTCTCATTTACAAAATACACACAATCAAAAGACAACATACAGCATTGTTCATTTACACTTTTTTTTTATCACTTTTTTATATTTGATTCCACAGTTTCTATACTTACAATCAACTACATTTTCTACAGCACGGTACAGTGACAAAGGTGATAATTCTTTGTTACATTTAATTTATGGTGATGCACTTGTATTGACAGAAGCCTCAAGACCAAGAGTGGTTTCAGAGAGTCACACACAAATGTTAGCTTTTTTATTTCATGTCTTCATTAGTGGGAGAGTTTATTTTTGATGTAATGTTGTGCAGAGTAGTTCTGAACAGTCAGTCTCCTACGTGAAAAACACCGCAGATAGAGCGATCTCAGATTGATGATTAAAAAAAAAAATCTCATTGAGAGGTGAAGTTAAAACTTTCAAGGATCAGACATGTTGAGGAGTGAATTTTCTCCATCTTAAACAAGCCAAACTTTTAGAAAAGTTTAAAAATGTTTTTTTTATTTTAGGTGGGAATTCTCTTTTAATCTTCCCCGCTCAGAGCAGCTGTCTACTGCAGGTAAGACGCTAACAGCTCAACACTACTCCACACAGCCACGATTCAAATACGCTAAACAATCCCTTCAGTGGAAAAAGGCCGGCATGTAGTAATGTGCTCCAACTGCCAACAACTTTGTAAGAGACAAACACTCAAACACTTATTGCTTTGTTAACTTTTTGCACTCACAATTGACTGTTGCTTAGGCAGCAAGTTAATTATACAAAAACACCCTGTAACATAGGCTTAGATATGTATGAGAGAAGCGTGTTAGCATTTTAACAGCACTCTCTGCTAAAACAGAGTGATCTTGACTTGGTTTGTAACCGCATGATGTGTGACCTGGGCCGGTCTGCAGAGAATTTATTTCTTACATGTGTAGTTTCTGTGTTTTCAGGGTCTGTCAGTGTGCTTCTGAGAGGGTGTGTTGGACATTTTGCAGTGTGGTCTGCTAATCATTTTGGCTTCTGAAGGTTTTTGCAAGTCAGATTTTTTTTTTTTACTAGGGCACCTGAACTGTCAAACTCAGCGTTTTGAATCAGTTTCAGAGAGAAAATAAAAGTGTTTCTGCTCTACATGCCCAACAGGAAGAAAAACTACTTTGATATTGTAAAGACCATGGGGGAAATCATTTAAAAATCCTATTAGTTCTATTATAGTTTATTTTATTTACATATATTTATATCTATAGCAGATCTCTTGTCATAATGTGTAAACTCAGGCCACAGAAAATATTTGGCAATAATTCATGAAAGGCGGGACTCATGGCACACGAATAGATGATGGATCAGGTGATAAATCTAGATCAGTGTAAAGTAAATGCAAATAAACGAGGGGTAATTCTCTTTTTGCAGAACTGTGTAAACCTACAGCATGTCCACAACATCATCATTTGGTAGATTATGCTTGTGCTTTCAATAAATGTTCCCCTGGTTCTTCAATACTTGTCCAATGCGCATCAGGATGAGTGTCAAACAACACAAGGCTCTCAGAATCGTGCACAATGCACTCTTAGTGCAGTGGTTTGGCTATATATTCAATTGAAACTACATATGGCTGCTATCCTACAAAATGGCAGTTTGGACAAGAAAAACTGTTCTGACATGATTGCTTTTCCAAATGTTGGAAAGCAGCTGTGAATGTAATGTGCCACGTGGGAATGCATGTGACCTGTATGGAACATATGATAATTGTTAGTGATCTCTTTCTGATAAGTGTGCTTTTATGTCTTGCTCCTATCAAATGCTAAAATCCAGGAAAAGACAGAATTATCCTGCATGTTAAATTAATGTCCTAATCAGTTAAAAATCAGGTTAAGATGTAGCCCTGATGTTGTTGCATGCTCCTGAATTTAATATATCTAATTCATAAAAGGCAAATAAAGCTTGTCATCCTATATCGGCATATCTTGAAGTTGCAGAAACCAGCAGCCATATTCAGTTAGACGATACGGCAGAAATATTGTTTGGTTAAATGACAGGATTTAGACGATTGGGTTTCCCATTTCAGCTACTGTGCTAATGGTAGCTACTCATGATAAATTGATGCACAGTTCGTACAGCGTATTGCTCAAACTGAAATGTTTTTAATTTTTCCATAAATATTGAGAAAGTGTTTGAAGTGGATAAAACTGAGACCAGAGTGAAACACTTAGCAACACATGTTGCTAATGCTAGCAGCTGCACATGTTGCTAATGCTAGCAGCTGCACATGTTGCTAATGCTAGCAGCTGCACATGTTGCTAATGCTAGCAGCTGCACAGCCCAAATGTTAGCTCATCTATGCAACCACCGAATATTTACTGACACAAGAAAAGAATCAGGCAGGAAGGAATAAGTTGATATAAGGAATTGTGAGAGAGTTGGTGAATTCACCAAATATAAAAAGTAAGTTTTAATAAATTTAAGTTTGATGTGCTGAACATCTACAAAAGGTTTAACTGATGAATTTTCTGTAGGCTGGTATTCATGGTGCGCTAACCTGACTAAACCACTGATTTTCCAAACCTCCCCACCCCTGTCATTGTAAGAGAGAAAAAAGGTGAATTTGTGGAATGATTACAGACTCAATAAATAAACAACCATTTGTCAGGTTTCAGTTGCAAAGATGACCCACAATAGCTTGAATTTTAAGTTCTCAATGAAAACTTAGACATGACTAGATTAACTTCTCTACATGGATCATGTTCTTCTTTCAGACATTTCAAGTTTTGCAACGTTTCGTGCAGTGTGCTCTGAAACACCTGGGAAGGTCTGTTAAAGGTATCAAGAAATACAGAAATTTGATAAAGAACAATAAATGAGCAAATGCAGTAAAACTCTGTTTACATGTTATAATCTGGATTTTCAAGTTTACATACAGTTCATACTTTGTGACATGCATAACACCCTCTGAAACATCTTAAAGACACACATCCTGTATATTCATAAAGGAGAAGGGAAAAGGCAGTTCTCACAAAGGGATGTACAGTTTGACTGGAATAACTGGGAGATTCTGAACATTTTCCCTGGGAAAATGTTCTCATGACAAATGGTTGTGCTTCAGATGGACAGACACAGAAAACTTGCCGTGAACTCATCCCTGCTCTGGTGCGATCCAAAGTGATGCCATAAAGGGAGGGAGATTAATCTCCGATTTGTAACGATAACAAAAGCAAACCCGGAATGTTCTATTATCTACAAAATGGCAGTTAGTCTAGACACCAACACAAGACCTCGGGAGAAACAGAGTAAGGGAGGCCAAGACGGACACGTCTTGGTGTTCCCCCGCAGAGTCAAAAATGCTTCCAATCAAGGCAGGAATTGTTGCATTTTTGAGCAGATAGATGTCCAACAAAGATGAAGAACTCACAACTTCAAAGGTGAGTTGATGTCGCTCAAAAGAATGAAGGTGAATGCGGACAACTCTGCAATGACGGCTAGTGGTCATTTCTATGAGTCTGTTTGCGTCGCTAACTATCAGAGTCACTGACCTCCAACCCTGGATGGTTTCACACTGAGGGGGACAGAACTTAATGGACTTACATCTACATTGGTTTACTGTGTTTTTTTTTTTCATCTCCAGACTTTAGTAAACGACAAACATCATCTTTTTCTGGAATTATCAGGATGCAGCAACAGCACTAACCTTTACTCTCACGGCTGAATGTTGCACCTTAACAAATTCATGTTGTAGTTTACTGCTTTACTGTGGATGTTGGTGAGTGTGGGGTAGGTTCAGAGGGCACGATTTGATGACCTTTTGAGCCGTTTCCTCTGCAGTGCGGCTAAAGCTCTGCTGCCCTCTGCAGAGCTGCTGGTGCCACACTATTGGAGCACTTGACCCCGCGTCTCTGGTAGTTTGAGGGCGAGAAAACTGCCTGCTGCCAGCGCGCCAGAGGCAAACAGGATGGGCACAGCCTTGGTTATGCCAACAAATGAAGTGAAGATGCTGATGCCGAGCACGGCCGCTAATTTACACAGAGCGTTGAGGAAACCAAAAGCGGTGGTTCTGCAGAGAGAGAAGGAAACAAAAGTCACATTGGATTTGTGTTGGAAGTTCAATTAATGGTAAAGGAGAGTACAACTGAAGCATTTAACTGCAAAAAGCTTGGAAATAAATTATCTGACAGAATATGACTTGTTAAAAAGAAATAACTCCTGATTCCTTCTAACCCTGTTTCTTCCAGACGACATCTAAAATGTGATGCTGTTTTACCTTTATGATCTTTTTTAGTTAAAAGATCATTAATTTAAAATGAGAATGTTTTCTCGTTTAAATGAGATACTGTTCCTTAATTTATTTCCAAACTATAAATCAAATAAACTGAAAAACATCTCAGGATGCTTTTTATGCCATTTCTTATGGCCTGATGATGGCGCTATTTTTCCTTCAATTAAATATAAAAGTTGATCTCTGATAGTCTTGGAAACAAAAATTTAATTTTGCTCTTCTTTATCTTATATTCCATTATTGAATCAGTTGTATACATAATAATTAAATCTACTTAATGAAAACCACTCAATGCCAAAGTGAGCTCTGCAGTCCAAACAGCAGCAATAATTTCACCCCACAATGTCATCCGTCCCTGAAAGCCAACCAATCACTGAAGGGCAGCTCCTCTGACATCATTGAGCAGCGCTGCTGTTTTCAGGACGTCAGAGCACGCCTACATCACCCACCTCTTGTGAGACGGATAGAGCTCGACGGTCAGCACATCCAGGGAGTTCCAGGAGGCGATGCTGATCCCACCAAACAGGCACAGCAGAGCGATCATGGCTGACTCACTGTTGCCGAAAGACAGGAAGAAACAGCTGACGCAAGAGATGACGCTGGAGCCAGCTGTGAAAGAGGAGACAAACAGAGACGCAGCCTGATTACTGTTGACAGTTCACTGGATATTTTTAACCTTAGAGTTAAACCAGAGTTACTTGAATTAACAAGAACTATTTTTATTGATGGCCTCGAATCTTTACTGTAGGGTGACACGATTTTTTATAGAAGTCAAATTAACTGATGTTTCAACTGATTTAAGCTGAACTGATTGTGGCCCCTGTAGGTTTTCTGTCTAGTAATGGAGCCATCAGAACATTTTGTACCCATCATGCATCAGTGCGGATGCAGAGGACATTTTGTACCTGCTTTGACACCTGAATGATTGGATGTAATTGTTTTTACTCAAAGTTTAAAGTAAGGAAAAGTGAATCCAAAAAACAATATTTACAAGCAGGATGTTCATTATTATTATAGTTTGATTAGGGGGTCATAATTATATATCATTATATATGAGTCAACAAACTCAAAATTAATAACAGGTAAATTTACCTAATAGGTGCAGCCTGGAAGCAGGACGGTCTGAAATTGCAAAGGTGATTATCTGTAGGACTTGAGCTATTTTTGCTAACAAACAGATTTTAGGGAACTAACAGATGTTTAGTTCAAACAAAAGAAAAATGTAAAATATATGCATAAATCAATTCATTGTTGATTTAGATCAGAAAATGCTGTTTCTATCTGGTTAAACTTCAACAGGTTGTGACCTGTTAACACTATTTGTCTTTGGGAAAAATCGACCAAACGTGATTAGTGGCCGTGGCAAGGAGACACTAGGGGGCGCTACAGCTCCTCCTGAATGAAACACAATATCACTCCCTGACACTCCTAAGAAATGTGATGTCATATTTTATTAAATGTGATTGTTATTATATTTATTGTGAAGTTAAAAATCAGAAAATAATGCCTAATAAACAATCAATAATTATCAATACAGTTCTGAATGAACAAAAAACACAAGGGAAAATATCTTAAAAATACATTTTTAGATGTCCATATGTCAACTTCTGTATCTTTCACCCCTTTTTACAAAATCAGTTAGCCTTGAGCAATGATATCATATGAAGGTATGAATGATGGATGAATGGATGAATTACTTTACATTGAGTTTGTTTTTCAAATAAATTGTTTAGAAAGGTCTTGTTGGTGTCACTAATGTGCCATTAGAAACAGCATTTATACTGATTAGGAATGCTGTTGGTTAGTTTTTGAAGGTTTAAATGTTGAAGGTATATTTTGCCTATTGTCCAGCAGGAGAGCTTTGGTGGGAGCCCCAACTAAAACAATCTCTTTAGCGAGACGACAAGCTGGTGGAGCTTCCTGATGTACCGTCAAATTTCTGTTTAGTAAGTAAACTGAAATGCATTTCATAATTATGGCTTATAAACTGTTATTCATACATGACTGCAGCATTCATCCCTGCTTGCTGTTTTATTCAAGGGCCGTTTTTCCTTGAAATGCATAAAGTACATAAATTACACATCGACTCTTTGAGCTGCCTTGTTGCTGAAAAAGTGCTGCATAAATAAAACTTCTTCTTCTTCTTCTTCTTCTGTTAGGAGCCTGAGAAAAGGACCGATACGTAGTAATGAGCATTCAGAGATTGCTCATAACTACGTCCCTGAAAGGCAACCAGCACACTGAATGTGGTGCTAATTTATGGGTTGTAGTTTTTGGTAACTCCCAAAACATTTTAAACATTCAGCCTCACCAGCTGAGATCTGAATTTAGTGCACAATTTGACATATTTATGCTGTTTTTAAGTTATTTTACATTTTGTGTTGCATAAATTTAGCAAACCGTTCAAACGCTTGTTTAGGACTCTGACATTTATGATTCAAAATGTCAAAAGTCCACTAGCTCGCTCTCCTTCTTCAATACTTTCATCTGAGCAAATGCTACATATTGTCGTCCCGTTCTTTGTCTTACCAAGCATCCTCAAACGCCCAATCTTGTCCATGAGGAGCGCAGACACAATGTTACCTGGCAACACTGCCAAGGTACCCAGGAAGCTGACGAAGTAGACCATGTAGGCGTTATTTTCATCACTGACATCACTGAGCAGACAGCCTTCTTTGTTGTGCAGGAAAGTGCTGTTTATGAGCTTACAGTTGATCAGACGGTATTTAAAAAGATCTGCGAAGGTAAAACGGGTGTCGGTAAAAAGCAGCTCAGTCATTGGGATAAAAAGAACTTACATTTCAGAAAATAATAAAGAAAAGCAACTTCAACTATTTAAATCTAACCAACAAAAACATGCAGCAGACTCTATCATCATTACTGAGCACAGCCTAAAAACACAGCCTGTAAAATACAATGGTGGCACTGGAATAAATATACCACTTAAAATGATTAGTTTCTGTGATTTTACTTTTTATAAATATATGTTTGAGTAAAAGAAACACTATTCTTTTATTCTATGAATGACTGAAAACATGTCTTTGAAATTCCAAGCAAAAATTTAGTTTTCATTTGCAGACAATGAGAAACGGTCAAAATAATGAAAAAGATGCAGAACTTTCAGACCTCAAATTACAAAGGAAACAAATTTATATTCATTTACAAGTAACAATACTAATGTTTGAACTCGGGAAGAATTCAGAAATCAATATCTGGTGGAATAACCATCAGGTTTTCTGTGGGGTACAGTGCACTGGGCTCCTATTGAACGCTTTTAGATTTTGGAATACAGTATCCAGCACCAGTAAGTCTACTGGTGTGTGAATTCCTCACCAGTGTTGTAAAAGAGGGTGGCAATAAATGTGCAGTTCTTGAAAAAAGTGTTGCTGGAGGTGATATCCTCAAAGTAACACTCTTCAAACAGCGAATCTTCGAACACCATAGATCTCATTTTCACATTCATGAACCTGCAAACAAGTACATGAGCAAATAGAATAACCTGCAAGTCAAACAGTGGTTCTATAAACAAGCGGTTTCTGAATAAAAAAATAAAATCTGCTTCAAATTGACAGTAAAAAAACAATCTATGAAAACAATGAATGACTCATGAGATCGTGGCAGAAATAATTTTTCTTTCTTGCAGTTTTTCCTGGCAGTCTGTAATGTCGGACTGCAACAGACTCACTTGTCGTTGAAGTACTGCCCCTGACGGTGGACCTGGTTCTCCAGAGTGAAGTTAAAGGTGACGTGCTCCACTTTCTCCTTGACAAACACCTTGGTGCGCGAGGCATACTCCTGTTTTTGCAGGTACTTGATCATGTCGGGGAACCACACGGTCAGGCCGTAGTAGCTGCAGGAAGAAAAAGAAAATCAGTCCCAAAAAGCCAAACTGTGGAAAATTCACACAAATACTTTTATTTTTCAAAAGCATTTTTTAAATGGCTTCACAGGTCACTGATTTTTGACAATATGTAATTGGTACAGAAATATTTAATTTAAACTGAAGCAAAGCAAGTTAGTAGAAATGCTGCTGTTTTATTTAACTCTCTCCCACTTATTTTACAGAAAGTGAACAAGTATAAATTCATAATCCTTTAGCTGCCTGACATGGTGTTCATGTTTTTGTGTCTAATCGTAGAAAAAAAACATGCTTTGAGTAAATCCTGAAGAACAAACACCATCACCATATCTAAAGAGAAAATCACATTTATTCCATTATGTTGTCCATAAACAGCTGTTTTTTTTCTCTCTCATAGATTATAATTAGCAGATTTTAATGGCTCGTTCTGCTCAAGCACCGCAGGTGGTATGGACTACAACAAGGCTCAGTGCATGGATCAGTTCTAGCTATAAAATATATTATTCTACTTCAAATTCACTGATGATATTTATCCATGCAGCCTGAGATATCAGTCAGTTAATTATACAGCAGGGATTTCTTAACAACACCTGAATGATGTTTTTCTTCTTTTAACCTACAAATAAGACTAAATTTAATTTTGAGAAACTAAAAACAAACTGCTTAGTCATTTACTCTAAATAGCTTCTAAAAATAATATAAGGAACCTTGGTGCCATCTTTGACCAACATATGTCCTTTAAATCCCGTGTTAAACGGTTTTCTTAGAATTTCCTCTCTAGATTATTCTGAAATTAGAAATATACTATAAAATAGCATGACTCCAATAAACTAGAGGTTATTTGATTCTTTAATGCTAGATTATTTCAGGTTTTACTATAAGAAAGTCCAGATGATAGAACAAATCCTCCAACCTATCAAAGATCTTACTTCTTAAGTGACTTAAGAAATGACATTTGTTTTTAATTGGCACTATATAAATAAACTAAATTCAACAATTCAGACATTTTCTGATTGTGCTTGGATGAAACCAACAAACAGAGTTTCTGAATAAAGATTCATGAGTGTTAGAAAGTCTGGATGACAACGTCAACCTGAAGGACATGGAGAACCACACGGCCATCATCATGTAGGTGGTGCGCCGGTACTCAGGGGAGAAAATGGTTTGGAAATTATTCCACACCTGGAAAACCACAGAGACGCTCATTACATTTAAGGAAGTGTGGTAAGAAGAGAGCAACTAATCAGAGGCATCTCTGAAACCAACCTGATGGAAAAGTGAGGAGAGTTTTAGCCTCCATTTCTCATGCCAGGCTGCACTGTCGCTCATGTTCACCAGCTCATCGATCTGCTTCACCGTTTTAATGGTGGTCACCTAACAACAAGAGATCTCATCTTCACTCCTTCATTTTCACTGATGTTCAGTATCACCTGATCTGTGTGCAACTTACAGAGAAGACCCTTTCTGGGTAACCTTTGGCCCTCATGTTGGTGTCATGGACCTGCTTCAGAATCATCCACGCCTCGTCATGCTTCCCATTCTGCAAAAGGTAAAAAAGACAAAAACTCGAGCCTTGCAGACACACATGCTGAACGGTGTCTGAGAATCAAACATCACTCAAACTTTCACCACTGTGAAATGATTTATTTCTACATTTATTCTATGTCACACACCTTTCTCCAGCTGAACAGAAACAAAACTGAAGTTATTATCTTTGGACCTAAAGAGGAACAATCTAGAGTCAAAACACAGCTAAAGTTATTACAGCTGGAAACTAGAGATACGGTATGAAGTTTGGTTGCAGTGATGGACTCTGACCTGAACCTTCAGAGCCACATAGAGACAGTTAGAAAGTCGGCCTTCTATCACCTGAAGAACATTTTCAGGAGTAAAGTACTAGAGAATCTCATCCAGTCGCATTGATTACTGTAACAACGTCTTTACATATCTGCCTAAAATAATTTTTTTGAATCATCTGCTGGTGATGTGCTGCTGCTAAAACCAGGAGAATGGAGCACATCACCCAGTTCTTCCACTGGCTCCCAGGAGCTCAGAATAGACATTAAAATACTGATATTAGTTCATAAATCACTGATCACCTTAGCATCACAATACATTAAAGATCTGCTGCTGTTGTAACAACCTTTCAGATCTCTCAGGGGTTCTGGTTCTGGTCTGATCTGCATCCCCAGAACCAGAACCAAACCTGGGAAGCAGCATTCAGCTTCTATGCGTCACAAATCTGGAGCAAAGGTCCAGAAAGCTGTAAAACAAACAAAGTTCCTCTGAGTCTAGACTGAAAACCCAGCTGGTCAGAGTTGCTTCTGAATCATTATAATTGAAACATTAATCAATAATCTGATGGCACTTGACAAAATGTAAAGCTTCAGTCGTTAAATGCATGTTTTATGACTTTTTATGACGTAAAGCACATTGAAGTGCCTCGTTGCTGCAAAGTGCTATCCAAATAAACTTGACTGATCGCTTGATGAGTCTGAAGCATCGAGGAGGAAGCTGGCCGCTCACCTCCAGGTAGAAGCGGGGGCTCTCAGGCATGGTGGAGAGGGCAGAGATGGCGGCCACAGACGGGAAGGCACACACCAGAACAAAAACCCTCCAGCTGTGGAACTGGTAGGCCGAGCCCATCTGAAAGCTCCAGCCTACACAAGGACAGAAAACAGGCCAGGGTGTTGCTGAACATCTCAATCAAAATAGTCCCATCTGGCCAAATGCACAAGGTTCCGGTTCTTTTAATGCCTTATTTTCACTCATTATGACCTAAAATGACGTCCAAGCAGAGCCTGACTCAGAGACCTGTTTGTTTTTCTCACCGTAGTGTGGGATGATGGCCCAGGCCATGGCGGAGGCGTAGATACCGCCGATCATCCAGAACATGCAGAGCCAGCTCAGGTGCTCTCCACGCTTCTCCTGGGCCAGAAACTCAGAATAATAAGAAAACACGATCGGGATGGAGCCTCCGATGCTGCAGAGTTACAGAGAAAGGCAGAAATGCAGAGAAAGAGGCGATTAAAATATGAATTATGCTTTTGAGAGAAAGAGAAGAGAAAAGGAAGGCCAGTATTGGGAAGTAAGTAAAACATTCAAAGTGGGATTTTTGTGTTGAAGCTCTGAGGAAGGGGTTTGAATTAAATCTAATGTTTGGATTTTTTTTACATTGCTCTGATTTAAAAGGCACAATTTAACTGTGATTCAGCATTTAAAACTCCTTGCAATTATTCCTTTGCTCATCTTCTCTGCAGAAGTGCTTTCATTCAGTCATATGGAGGATTTTCAGGCTTATTTGGCTTGTATTAGGATCACACTTTGACTAGGCCACACCTACTGTTTGTTTTTGTTTTTATTATTTTAGTGGAACTGCTGTAGTGACCCACATCATTAATCTGCAAAATAAACAATTGAATAAATGAATGCGTAATACGCAGTGTTGTATAAAGTACTGAAATCTCAGAGTCAAGTGAAAGTACAGGTACCGCTCCAAAATATGACTTTGGTAAAAGTCCAAGTCACTGAAATGTTACTTGAGTTAAAGTCTTAAAGTACCTGAAACGTCTTGGACTTAAGTCTGGAAATTACTGTAAAAATGGATGAACTCAAGTAATGTAATGAAAAGTACAAGTAAAAATACCAATGATACCAATAATTATCAATATCGATAGTTATTGATTAGTTTTTTGTTTTAAATGTATAAACCTTTCCCGTTTTATCCAGTTTTCACTCTGCTCCATTAGTTTTTTTAATTTTAAGCAGTTAGAGGCCTGCTGGTGAAACTTTAAACTGCTGCTGCGTGTTAATCAACAGGCTGTTGCTAGGTAACCAAAGAGTGAGTGAGTTCCTTCATTAGCTCTGCCTACATCTCCCAGAAGGCCGTGCGGGTCTGGATCAGAATTCAGTGAATATTCTACATATTGAATATTGAATATTTATGGCATTGTTGTATATTGTTATTGATTTATTGTCCAACTCTAATCTAGAGGGATCATCCCACAGTTCCAGGATGATTTGGATTATTTTCTCCGATAAGTGAAAATGTAAATTTTTTTCATCTCTTTCTAAACTTTCAATTTTAAAAGTATATTTTGAAGACATGAACTGATCAACCTGGACTCAATATGCTCTTTCGGTGCCTTTCCTTTGATCCATTTTGTGATTTTGGGCATTTCACTGCTCGTCACATCAGCTGCTGTTCATGCATCACAGTGGCTGTGACTCCCTGCGTGATTCATCAGCCTGCTTACCCGACGCCAGAAGCCAAACGGCAGAACAGGAAGGAGCTGTATCCCTGGACGAAGGACGAGAAGAAGGCAAACACGCTATTTATGGAGAGCGAAATGAGCAGGGTCTGTCTCCGACCGATCCGATCAGCCAGGCCGCCCCAGACGAAGGCTCCAACCATCATCCCCAGGTACACGATGAGACCTGCGAGGAAGAGGAGAGCCGGTCCATCAGCAGCGTGAAATGATTGGAAGAGATGAAGTAGAAAGGCAGAGAGGATGATAATGAGTTATTATTCTCCAATAAACTCACGTCTGGCACTTCAAGGCTTCACTTTCACTCTCATTAGATTTCTAATTTGCTGCAAATTACTTCCAGGGGAAATCTTATTGGACTTCTAAAAAGAGTTTGCATTAATGATGAAACGTTATGGAAGAATCGAAGCATAATCCTCTGAAATGTTTCCAGACAAAAAAATGGAGCATCGTTGTTCAGAAAAAACTCTTTTCCCAGCTGACGGTTATTAAAATGTGAGTTTTTAAAACAGTTGAGCGTTATCAGGAATAAAAAGAACAGATGATTTTTTGTGTTTCAGTGAAGGTTTTTATTTAAATCAAGCTGAAAATTTACTCTGTTTACTCTCAACATTCAAATATGGAGCAAAGAGTATTGTTTTGCATGACAAAGGAGAAAAAGGTTACTGCATCCATTTACATAATGTTTAGTTAAAGGCCAATCTAAAGTGTTTTTTTGCTTGTTTGTAATGTTAAAATCTAGAAAAATATTTATTTATTCAGTAGTATTTCATTAGTTGAAGTTGGTTTATTTCTCCTATCGCTATGATTTTACAACAATGTTTCTGCATTTTATTAGTTAATTTGCACTTGGGGAAAAACAGATTTTTTTCTCAAGTTGCTATGAAATATTCTTCCTGTAAAGTTAGAATGCAGTGAGAAGCAAAAGAACATGGTTCTTATACAATAATCATTATGAAATTTCTTACTTTTGCAAACAGAAAGTATAATTTTTCTGGACCTCTCGGTCAAAATATTTACCTTTAAGAACTAGTTTTATCTGCAGATTACAAAAGAATACATCAAATAGGACTGCAGTTTAGTATTGCGTCATTTTTCTGGGTGTTTTGAAACCCAGAAATTTTTTATTTTAAAATAAAACACCAAAAACCAAAAGACTGAAAATAAGTTGAAAAAGTTCAAAGTAAGTTAGTATGCAGCATATGAAAGCTAAAGTAATTTTAATGTAAATCTATGTAAAAATGTCTGTAATTATTAAGCATAATTAGAGATAAATATCCTTTAATCAGCAAGAAAGTCTAGAAAATCAAACATTTCATGCTCAGTTTTCCTATTTTTCACTCATCCAGAGCTTGAAAATGGTTCAATTTTTTAAATTTAAATTCTTTAAGACTGGTGCATATCTAATGCAAGTTATACATACGTATTTGATATTTAGCAGGTTTTCTATTGAACGATGTTCACTTTGTTGATCTCTAAATTAGTCAGCTATATTTCATACATGATGATACAAGCAGAAGCATTATGTGATGATGTTTTTATGAACCCGTATTTTCATCCACGTCTTCAAAATGACACAATCTGCAGGAAGAAACAGTGAGAGCCAAATTATCATTAGTATTTCTGGTTGCAGTGTCTAAACCAGGCTTTGTGTTTCAATTAAGATAAACTAAGGTCTACAAAGGAGTCAATGAAGTTGAATAGACGTTTCCCAGGAGGCAATTAGTCATTGTGTCTTTGCCGAGTCACAGTTTTAGTATAACAAGTCATACAATGGGAATACTGCCATTTTCCAACTAAGCAGGGGAGAAGGATTGATTTATAGACTATCCAGTATAATAGGTAGTGATTTGCCCCTTTCAACTTGTCATTACCGAAATTGATATGTCACAGATTGAAACAAACTGGAGGAGTCAAACGTTGTGGAGGACTGAACTGGAAATCCTCTGTTGTTCTGGGTTTTATGTTCCACCTCTTTATTCTTCTTGTGAATCCCTGTAATGAAAACCTTTTGCTGGGAGCACCGAACCCAGCTGTGAGGATGAACGCATGCATTCAGCAATAATTCAAACCCATGTTGATTGATCACAAAAAGCACATCAGTTTGGGAGGGAGGAATGCAGGCAGCAAATGTTGTTGTATGGTTTGACCAAAAACGAAATATTTTGAAAATATATTTTGAAATAATATTTGCTGCTGAAAACACTAAATTTAAAAGTTTAAAGCTACGACTGCCACACATGATTCATACATTTAGATCAAATTAAAAATGACCTGTAGATATGATGGAGACATAATGGTTGTGCTTTCTGTAATGACAGAGAACCGGCGAGTCAATCATAGTGACTGAACCATCATTCAGTAAAGATCTCTGATTGGGTATCGTTGTGGGCTGCAGCACCGACCTTTCGACCTTTCACCTATCAGTGGAACCAGATGACTATCTGTCCTGCTGTCGTCACTGTTAGAAAGCATCAAGATAATATATCAGCTTAATGCGTTAACAAACTTCAGCGTTACTAATAAAAACCAGGAATTCAGTCTCAATGTGTGATGCTTCATATAACAAATATCTAACATTATTGCTCAAAAATGACGCATTAAATGCTTCAGGTCTGCTGTCATTCGAAAAATTTAAGATTTAAAGATCTGGTTGAAACAGGAAAGTAACACAACACTAAAACAAGTCCTGGATCTACTTTTCATTTGTCCAAAATAAAGATCAGATGAACATTGACTTTGTTTCTCATCTTTTCTTGAATTTCTTTAGACTGTAGCATGATGCAGTGATTCCTTTTAATTCCTGTTTGTCAGACAGGTTGATTCTGCAGAAGCAAAGTTGATCACAGCTCAAAATTTATTCATCTTTCCACAGCGAAGTTGCTTTGGATGGCTTTTTACTCCTAGTAAATCAAATTATTTTCTGAAAACTGCCTTTTTAATATTTACTCAGGTTAACTTCGTCTCATGTTGTCAGATGATCTGAGAAATGAGCTGGAAAAGGTGTTGGAGAGAAGTAGCGATGCTGGGCATCTCAGCCGGAAGTGGTGGGAGGAGGAGATGGAGAGCATGAAAAGAGGAGTAAAAAGAGAGAAAAAGGGAGGAGCGGACAGCGCGAGTCAACGCTGTGGCAGAGCTCCCTGAGGCACAGGGATAGTGGATGTGTGTGGATGTGTGTTGATGTGTGTGGATGTGTGTGGATGTGAGTGGGGAGGGAAATGAAAGGAAAAACTGTGCAACACTGCAGGATTGTTGCGTCTGCGTGGATGAGTGGGAGAGATGGGGGTTTAGTTTGGCTTTAACTTAATACTACTACCAATAAAAATACATCATTAAACATAAAAGACCCTCATTTCCACTTATGTGCATCAAAGGTTTGTTGCTAATTATAGCCAGGTATAAAGCTTCACATTTCCTCATGCCTGTCTGTCCCACAGGAGCCAGTAAATCAGACCGGCCTGATTAGATCTGCCATCTTGTCTTTGTCCCATCTGTTTCCCCTCAACCAGGACTTCACTGACAAAATCCACCAAAAGGCCAAACACTTATTACAATCCAGAAAGGTTCCTGGATGCTGCAGGAAAACGGCGCAGCAGCACTGCAATGCACAACCCAGCGCAGCTCGCCGGCCTCCAGAAGGACAGAAATTTCTCACACATCAAGAGCATTTAAGCTCAGTTGGTTCCAGAAGTCATCTCTTTCTCTGCAGAACTCCTCCTTTGTATGTTTCTAATAAACTGGCTGCATGCAGCAGCTGCAGCCGCTGCAGCTTCATGAGAAGGGCAAATCAATGACAGCCAGTGTGTTTCTCCTGCGGCTCACTGAGCGTCAACGCTGCATCACGATTTGTGTCACTCTGAATTCCCGCCTGTTAGTTTTCTTACTTGATCAAATGTTCCTCAGCAACACGCCTCTGGAACCTTTCTGAATAAAACGGAGCAGTGTTTTGTGAAATGCGCTGTCACAGCTTCCTCTCCGGGATCATTTAAATGTTAACAATCTGCAGCTCGTTCTGCAGACGCTCCTCCGCTGCGTGCGCTGGGTGTCGCATGCAAACAGCCCAGTGCTTCAGGTGAAAGACTCTTTAGACAGCATGCTGATGGAACGCAGTGGGGTGGGGAGAACGGAGAGGAGCAGTCAGAAATCAGGGGATGCAGGGAAGTTGGAGCAAAAAAAAGCCTCTTCGGCTGTGAGTCAGACGTGTTGCATAACAAGCGAAGGAGAGAATGGAGGCCCCTCGTGACTCCTAACTGAAGCCTTCACCCATGAATACTCAAGTATTTTCATAATTTAAACATTTACACTTTTTCTTGATTTCTCTGGGTGAAATTTCCTGTTTTAGTTGAATTACTTTACTGACTGTAGCAATGTGCCTCCCCTGCAGCTTGCAATAGGAGCTGACGTTAATGCTGAACGTCATGGTGAGATCAGCTGCATTTAAAAGCTCAGTGCAAAACAAAATGCTCAAATGTTGACAAAGACTAAAACAAGAGCTCAGAAATCTCTGGCCTGTATTTCTGTTGCAATGTTTTTGTTTCCTTTTTTTTTCCCTCTGATTATTATTATTTGTTTGTTTGGTCTTCAAACCCTTTTATTGATATGAATCACAGTCATTTTAATAGTTTGGAGGTTGTTAATAGTCCTATCTTTCTATTTCTTTGTAAAGCAGTTAGAGTTTATGCAAAAAGTGCTCAATAAATAATGTTTGATTAATTAAATAAAATAAAGTATATCACTGTTTGTGCTCTCCTCTGTCTGTACAGACAACATGTGACAAGTCCATCCTTCTCCTGTCATTACCTGTTGCAGCTGAGGCCCTCTAGGAGGCGCTACAAGGTCCTCAAACCTAACTAAGGCACTTATTTTGACAGTGCCTTATTATTTATTATTTATGACTCAAACGTGGTGGGAAGTCGTTGTAATTCTGTTTGCATTGTGGCTGCTGTTCGTATTGCACCTGGTTTTAATTAACAGAGTTTCACCGTTTAACTGCAAACAATAATTCATCCCGTTGAAACTGGCTTTCTGTCAGGCCACTGCTGTGGTGCTGCTCTCTGCATGACAGGAGACACACCTCCATATTGCACCTGAATTTCTGATCTACGCTTTGCAGTTTTATTCTTTGCATCTTTGTGACAATTGTGACGCAGCTGTCATAAATTTTTGAGACACACAATTTTGGGGTTTCATATATTACAGTGTATATACTGTAAGCTATATTCATTGAAATGAAAAGAAATAAAATATTCTCGATGCTTAATACGAGTGTCGTTTTCTTTCATATTCTGAAAAAAATATTGAGTTTCTTCATAATAGTCACAGTTTTTTAGATGCACCAATATAAACACCTTTAGTGGAAAGTAATAAATCAAGAAACGTTTAACACAATTTTACTATCTGGGAATAAAAAACAAATTAAAAATTGAACTTAAATGCCAATAGTAATGTTTTTAAGTGATGTATTTTGAATGGAGGTCAATGGTAAAACAAATGGCAAGGGTCAGAGATTGTTTAACTTAAAAAGGGTCCAATTATTCATCTGCTGTAAATAATTGTGTTTTCTAAACTCATGTATGTAATTATTAATATATTAATCCTTGTCACACGTCTGGTTCATGTTCTGTGTCCACCCTGTGCAGCTAATGACAGACGATCACGTGGTTCTGGACGCTGATTAAACATGAACCCGCAGGGTAGGAAAAACAATCCCAGAGTCTTCAGCTTCCACTCAGTGCAAACAGAGAGCCAGCCACGCTGCACACAGTGTGAGAAAGACAAACAGCACACACAAAGGAAGCACGAAGCCAGCGCTGCCTCTCGCATGCAGACACAAACAAACATTCAGTGGCACAGGTGAACCGAGGCTGATAATACCAAGAGTTGGGTCAGGCTGTTGGGCTCATGCACGGCCAATTGGGTCCTAACAAAATGTAAACTGCAGCGACTGCAATGAGATTCTCCTAGATAACCAGGGGATAGCAAGTTAAGTGGAAGCAGCTAATGCCAGAGAAGGTACTAAAATTAAAATAAAGAGTCAATAAAAAACAGAAAGTGATTTCAAACTCGAAGCAAAATGTGGCAGTTTTTTTGTTTTGTTTTTTTACATAAAATTAGTTTCATCTGACTATCTGTAACTGCATTCAAAAACACATTTTGACCAGACACATGATGCTACTTACTAATGGAAATTTAAGATGTCTGCATTTACATTCTGACTAGTAAGAATAATAATTCATTATGTTGAATTAAATTACTTTATTACATTTTGACAAGTCAAAATTCCTTTCAAAATATCTTAAATGATGTCACCAGATTTGTCATTTAACGGGTCAAACATCCGTAATTACAATTTAAGATATCTCGAATATAATTATGACTAGTCAGAATTATGCTTCTCCATGTCTCCGATGGAAATGTGCCGAGTCATAATTCACTTTCAAGATATGTTTGAAATAGTCAAATCTATTTTGCTACTATCTGAAAATACATTAAATATATGTTGAATTATGGTGTCATGCAAAAATATCTTTAATTAGAATTAAGACAAGTCATAAGTGAATTGGAGCTATCTGATTCACATAGTCAGTAATTTATTGTAGATATCTACTATAATATATCTCAAACAGATGCTCTCATCAAAACATAATTAGAAATACCTTAATTTACTAATATGTCTATTCATAAACCAATTTCAGATATCTGTGTACTGAAATCAATTTTATGTTAAAATGGCCTGCCATACCCAAAACTCAGTTGACTTACCCAGCATGCCTTTGTTTGGCTCTGACAAGCACATGTCCTTCTCCGCACTGGGAAGCACGAAGCCGACCACAAAGATCTCCACGCCGTCGGCCATCAGCGCCAGTCCCAGAACAAAGTAGAGAGTCCACTGGAACTTTCCGTGGCCGCACTCCTGCAGGATGGCCTCGTACTGCTGGGCCAGCTCCTCCCGGTCCTTCCGCACCTCGCCCTCAAACGCCGACAGGTCCCTGAACTGCTGCGCCTCGGCGACGGCCATGCCATCCATGTCGCCGGTTTTCCCAGAGTCACCCCGAGGAATGCCCTGGTACTCACCCTCATAAATCTCATCGTCCTCATCGTGACCTTCGGTGGAGTCGCTGTGGCCTTCATCGTCGTTGGCTCGGCTGTCGTTTCGGTAATATCCGCCATCATTGCTCGGCACGCCAGCGTAATCGTCGTCGTCGTCTTCCTCTTCGAAGCGCTTGTAGGAGCGCTTGACGTACTCATCGGCCATCTTGTCCACGCCGCGTCCGACCTTCTTGCCGACCTGCTTCTTGGCAACTTTGGCAATGTCTTTGGCGCCGCGGATGAAGTCTGAGCGGCCGTCTCGGTAGCGCCCGTCGTCGTCCATCTTGGATGCTTGGAGGAGAGATGCTGCAGAGGACGGGGGAGATCAGCACATGAGTGTCTGCTGTGGATTCTGTGGACTGATCCAGGCAGGACCGTGGACAGCTCCCTGCTCTGCTGCTGGTCACCAGTCAGACACCAAACCCTGCAGGGAAGCAAAGAAACGGGGATGTCAGCAGCAGTTATGTGGACTGTAAGTAGAAATACAAACGCTTCAGGTTCAACTAATGAGAAAGCTTCCAGAGCATCCGTCCTGACCCGATCCCCAAACAAATAAAGAACATCCATTTCACCAAGACTGTCCTACAGTAGAGGACATTATGAACACTTGCTACATCATAAACATCAGCTCTGCTAATGCTACAGAGCTGTACCAACTTTTCATTAGCAGAAGCTCCATAGCTCAGTACTGCTGACTCAGGAAACTCATTTGTTCACTTGTAGCACAGTTGATCAATAAAGATTCTTCAAAAAAGAAACTGAACTGTTGCATAAACAGACTTCAAAACAAGAGCATGGATATAAAAATCTAACCTGAAGAATTACTAACAGTCAAAAACCAAAACTTCAACACAAAACAGCCGAGTAAATTTATCTGGAAAAAATGACCCAGACGAAGCTAAGAGCGCTAAAGGTTTTCAAAGTTAGCAAAAATGCTCCAGTGCTAAAGGAAGTATCTGCTCCTCTATTAGCATGTTAGCTGATAAGTAAAAGTACGCCACCTCTGGACAGACGACTAACATCTTGGTTTAGAGACCAACTCGAGGAGCTCAGCTTGTCTGAGGTGGTGACTCTGTTAACCTCTTCATGTCCAGCCTTGCAAATAAAAATCAGCAGCTTAACCTAAAACCAATAATGCATAACAAGGTTGGTGTGGGTGGACATCAGCTTGGTGCACCCGTCTTATCTGACTATAAAGGAAGGAGAAGTTATTTGTTCACCAGAAATCACTAAAATCAACTAAATATTCATAAAATTTAATTGTAAGAAGTTCTGACCCAGAACTTTTGACATTTTTGTGTATATAATTTTAACAATGAAGCCTTTCCCAACCAAGAGATGAAGAGCATTTAACAACAACCGTTAAATAAACTTAAAAATGATTTTACCTAAATCTGATCTGCAATACGTCTTAGTTTTAAAGCAAATCAAAAGTTTATTGTGAAACTGAGTCATTTTCTAAATGCTTCCGACATCTCTAATGAAGTGTGAGTTGGTAATTTAATCGCAGTTAGGCCGAGGGACAGACTAAAAGCTGTTGCAAGCAGTTGATGAAAGATTTAATTATGTCATTTCATTTTCTTCTACTGAGCAAAAATGATACTGAAGGGTTGGGAAGCGGAATCTCAGGCCACATCTAAACAGATGCAGTAAAGAGCTGAGAGGAGACAGACAGGAAAACACAAGAGAGTCAAGAATTTCCTCTGTTCCAGCAGACAACATGTCCATGAAGCCTCTGCATTCAGATGCACCATACAACAAACTATATTTACCATAAAACTACATAAAAACAATAGAGTGGTAAAATACGACACAAAACGTGTTTTGTTTCTCAGTTCTCTTCTCACCTGAAAATATATATTTAGTTAATCAACAACCACAACATTTTGCAAAAGACAAAACAAACCTTTTATATCATTTTACCATGAATTCTGCACTAATGGAGACAGTAAACGTATCTATGACCTTCATAAACTGGAAAATATTATTCAAATGGAGCCCAGAGCTGCTGGTGGGCTTTAGGTTTAAAGTCCCTGAGTGGACAAAAATATAAAGAAACTGAATCAGAAAGTTATGGCATTAATCTGCAGCTGAGATCATATTTAGCTCTGATGTCAGAAAGAAGATTCCCATTTGCTTCTAAGGAAGTCATAACCAGAAGACAGAAATTTCAGCCCATTCTCGGCCTTTCATTGCTCTTTTATCCTTCAGCATTAAAACAGCTACATTTACTGCAGGTCTTTTATCTCCTAGAATAGATTTCTCCCTCTTTATCAGGTGTTGGCGCTCTCTGATGGAAGCAGGATATTTTACTTCAGGGACATAAACGATCCATTTAGCGGCAGGCAGCTTTTGGCAGGGAAACGGCCAGGCAGTTAGGCTCCAGAGAAGACGGATGAAGAGAGAAGAAACTAATAAAAAAGCTAAAACACAACACCATTAACATCCGATGGCCTCACCGCCAAACACATCCACTCCATAAAATACACTCAGCTCAATTTGTTTAAGCCAGATGAGCAAAATGATGCGAATAAAGACATTTTTCTTCTTTATCACATTAATACTTTAGTCTAGCTGCATGTTTGGTTGACCTCAGATTGACCTCGTTGTGAATGCAGCGGAGTCTGGTTGTCAGACAACAGAATTAAATGAACTTTTTTTAGCTTTATTATTAATATTTGTTATTTAGCAGCAGCATCATAAAAATGTTGCAGCAGAAGACATCTAAATAAAAACAGTTCTGTGGCTTCTTTCATTTTGTATCTTTGAAATCTAAAACACGCAGCAAGTTTTCAATGTAAAGAGATTTTAGATTTTATTCCATCTCAAAAGACTTTGTGTTTTTTTTATCTTAACTGCACTTCATCAACTTGAACTGAACATATTGTTTTGGTCTCCCTCTCTCTCTTCCATCTGCTCAGTTTCCCCGTCGTATTCCAGTTTGTTGGGTTGTTTACATTATAATCTTTCTTCAGTGATGTTTAGATTCCCTTATGCCGTCACTTTATTCAGTTCTGAATAGTTTTCATCCAGCCTCCTGTTTTTCCACACATGCCTCTCCTGTCATCCATTTAGAGTGTGTGTGAGCGTGCATGCATGGAGGGTGTGTGTGTGTGTGTGTGTGTGTGTGTGTGCGTGGGTGGTGTGTGTGTGTGTGTGTGGTGCAGAAGTGGTGATTCCCTTTCTAGCTGCAGATGGCTGGTAATGTCATGCAGCGCAGGATTCATTTCTCACATGCAGAGATGGTTTGTTTTTTTCCCATCAGAAATGCTGCAGGTTACAACTAAAGCTGAAGAGCTATTTTTCAGGAAAAAAGAAGAAGATACAGACATTTTTCATGACTTATGTGGCTGAGGGATTACTTCAGAAGTTTAAATTAACTCTAGAGAAAAGCGGTGATCATAAATGCATCATTCCCCCTGACAGTTCAGCGATGTGAGAATCAGTCAAATCTGTCTGCTCCCTCTCCTGCCTCAGTAACTCAGGTATTTCTGTCTGTCTCAAGAACATTTAAAATGTTACATATAATTTCTGCTGTTTGGAAAACTCAATCGCACTCAGCAGACTCATTAAACAAACATCCACACCTACAATAAACAGTCCACTAGAGGACATTATGTGCAGCTGGACACTCCTTTCATATCAACGCTCAAAAGAGAGGAAGCAGCTGATAATCAATCGCAGTCAAACTTTTAGTTCGGATGTGAAAACACAAAACAATATTTATTCAGTCAATTTCAAAGTTTCTTGCATCAAATTCCAAGAACAGGGAGCAGAATGAAGGAAAGGCTTCTTACCCAATTCCTGAGCAAAAGGGACAGAAACAAGCAGCAAATTGTGTGAGCCAAAAGTATAAATGTCAACATTTCTCAGAGCTATTTCAGTACAAACATAAAACCATCACGAGTCCAAGTAATGCCTGGTAAATAAAAATTAATCCTGCTGATGATGAGTGAGAAATTCCTTCAGTTCCTTCAATAATTCGTGGCTCTTTCCTGGCTGAAGGGACAGCGGTGTGAGCATCGACTCGACCTCCCCCAGCAGTGATGCATTGTTGCAATAAAGCAGCCTCGCTCTAGTTCACGCTCTCTCATCTGCACAAAGTCACACAGCTCTTCCAGCTGCATCACGTCCAGCACAGAGCTGCACACACGCCGGCGACTATTGGCTGTTTTCAGCTCAACCAGGCCAGAGCTCCACCTCAACACGCAGGTCTCCTCTGGGAGGCTCTGCATCCACGGTGGCACCAAGTGGGATAGCAACACCATGTCAAACAGCGTGACGTCAGGCCCCTGCATCCATTTTGGCTTTGGTCTCTGCTAAATGGGTTGAACAGCAGTCAGACAGAGCAAAGCTGAGGGAAGCATGTAAACGTTGTGAGGGATAAATGCATTCGTCATGTTCTCATTCAGGTCCATTAGCTTCCACTAATAGAGAAATGTCTCCACAAGCTCATTACCTTTGGAACTGCAATGCAGCTGATTGCTTGTTTATCTATCATCCTACTGAGAACCAATATATCACTAAAGGAAGAAATGCATTTCAATAATGAAGCATTTTCCACCAATTTACAGCGGGAGAGGAACTGGTACTGAAAGCTGTTGGTTTTGTAACAGCATGGAGAGGCTCTGACATGCAGGCATCGTCAGATCTCTGGACTCACTCAGGAGTTTAGTTAATGAGGATACCTCCTCCTGCAGATGTTTACACCTAATGTGTCCTCCATGCACATCTGTAGTGAGCGAGCAGCCCAAGCATTTATACCTCTTCAACTGTTCCACCTTCCTATAAGCTCACAAAAAGCCCCTGAAGTCAATTCACTGTCCAGACAGAAATTCCACTGGAGGTCTTTTTGTGACTTTTCACACTCAAAGGGGAGCTTTATGTGCTTCCATTTGGGCTTCTACTGATTCTAAAAACAACCCAAGTGAAAAAAAAAAGAAAACAAAACACCCAGCCAGTTTTTGGTAATAAGTTAATGGTTTTTGGTGTCTGGAAAATGAGCCATTTCAAAACCTCTGGAATGTAACATCACAAATCAGTGGGTACTGCTCCATCACCTAGCAACCCAAGCTAACGGCATGTTCAGAGTGATATGCAGGTCCTCCATTTTGATCTCCTCTGGAAAACATGAGTATTATTAATCATATCAACAGTTTCTCCTGCCAGAGCTGCTGATTTCTGCTGTTTTAACCTACAACCAATTCAAAGTGTTCCACCAAAACAGAACCACATTTAGCTTGGAGAGACCAGCACAGCTCAATCTGCCTCCTCTAACCTCACTAGCTGTGTTTGTAGTTTCTCCGAAACAAACAGACTGAGCCTCAGTACAACAGGACTAAATTCTTTGTGACAGTTAGAAATCTCCTGCAGGAATTTAAAAAAGGTGATTATAAAACCTGTGAAAGCTTAACTTATGATGCACGAATCAGCATACAGTGTGCAGACGCTGCAGCCCGGCGCTCTGAGAGCAACGAGTGCAGCGCTGCTTCTCATGCTCATCGCTCTGTTTGCATCATATTCATTCAGGAGAAAAAACAAGTTCAGATGAGCAGATTTACATTTCACTACCAAACCGCAGAAAATGTTTATCTATTGACCTTGACTTTTAATTTTTAAATCAGGGTCAAATTGTTATAAATATGGAAAAAGTTAGGCATAACACAAAGTATTCATCTTTTAAAAACCAACTTTAATATGAAGTAGAACCACATCAGTCCAGATGTTTTTACTGAAAACCTGCACCCAATTTTAATGCATTTCATTACATTTTATTACATTTATTAAAACTGAGTAAATGTAGCAAACATTCAGGAAGAAAGAGACCCAAAACCTGCAGTAGAGCATTTATCCCAATGTTTATCATTTATTGTGATAAATTTCTTGTCAGGATAAGAATTACGATTTATTGTCACCATAAGTTCCAATTAATGGCATTGAAAACTTCCCAAAACTGTCCTTATTGTCAGGGTTGATAGTTTTATGACTGTTCAATGAAAGCATCAATAAATACCAGTACATTTAAATATACAGTTACCATATGCAACTTAGTGGCACAAACACATCTTTATGTGACTGGCGTCCTAAAGAAGTGTGTTACAGCTGGGAATGTTTTTTGTGTCTGTGGGGCTATAAATGCTGTGACACAAAGTTACAGTCACATAAAAAAGGAATAATATACCCCTGATGACTGCAGTCCAGGATTTCATCCATTCTCCTGAACCAGAGGACAGCATGAAGTCACCTCTGGCAGAAATAAGATGCTCTGTGAGTTATTTATGGTGCGCTCCACTCTAATTGCAGCTCCAACCCTCTTTCATCTACAGCTGACAGAAAAAGGCCATTGATTATTCCTCTGCCTTGCAGACATGGCGAGTGTGAGGTCCAAACAGATGTCTCCACAAGCACAAATGAGGCGATCCGTAAAAGCCATCCTGATGTTCACACAGCGGCGCTGAGGGCTGAGCGAAGCCGCGCTCCACCGTGTTTTAAGATGTTCTGCTTCCGTATCCGACTCGGAGAGGCGAGCTGGAACGTGTGACGGGATCATCTCTGAGGACAGACGGGAGCGCGGCCCAATCAGCAGGCAGAAAATAGGAAACGCAAACAGAGACGCTGCTGCTGCTCGTTTTCAATGCGGCCAGGCGCCGCAGGCTGGACCCGGGGCCAGGGGCCACAGAGTCAACATTGATCATTAAATGAGCTTAAATCTGGGTTGTTGTTGTTTTTACATGTGTAGAATGAGGCTGAATGGATTTTGGCAGAAATCAAAGTTTTTCTAACCAAATCCACCAGAAATAGATTGACAAAACTAAAGCAGCTCCAGTCTGAACAACGTCCAGAGAAAACTGGAGCGGACAGAACAGGATGATGAATCTGAACTGGAGCTACTTGCTCGGTTTTCTGGGTTTGGATGTCAAACTCGTTTTCATTTTGCTCCATGTCAACATTATGAATTTTCTCATAGTAGAGCCAGAATGTTTGATCAAATCCATTAACGCATTTTCCACAATGAAAGTCACTGATTTTGTGGAGCTAAGTTAGAAATATTTGCAAGAACCATTTACATGCATGACGGTGAATGGGATTTTGTTTCCGCGTCCATCACGGATGACAACATGACTTTAGTAAAGCTGAGGAAGCAGAAAGAAATACTGCAAACAGCTGGAGGAACTGATTGATGTAATTTGACAGTAAACAGATAAAAACTGCTTAATCTAAAAATAGATTTAAGCAAACGACGATTATCTCTGGAGTCCAGCGATAAAAAACTACAGAGGGGCGATAAGCTCATTCAGTCTGATTTTAATTTCATTTCTTATTTAACGGAAACAGCAACTGCAAAATTATATTGTTTATATATATATATATATATATATATATATATATATATATATATATATATATATATATATATATATATATATATATATTATCAGAGTATAGACAAAGATCTGCATACATTTGTAATGGAAACGCAGCGACTGAGGAGCTTATGGTGAGTTGATTGCTGGATGGAGAACCGGTGGCTGATTGGTGACAGGCTGCAGCTGTGAGACGAAACCAAAGACTGAGGAGGGAGAGAGAGAAACACACGAGGGAGGGGAGGAGCGACAAACTGGACATAAATGAATCCAAGTGAAATTAATAACTAAACACAAGCAATAAATGAAAGACACACTAAACTGAGTAAAGGATAACTAAATTAAAATAAGAATAACTGAACTAGCACAGGAAATAAACATGGATAAAGCAGAATTATGAAAACAAGTAATCAATACAGGAGGAAAAAGAAGCAAAAAATCCAAATAACCTGACAGGAGGAAGCTGGAGTACCTGGTGAAAAGTCAGATCCTCATCCAGCTCAGTTATTTAATCATAATGTAAACAAACCTGGAGTCTAAATGATTCAATAAAAAAAAAAAATCCAGAAGCTGCAGCAATTAATTTTTAACTCCAGTTTCCTTCCAGAACACAAAAACAAACAGGCTGAGTTCATCAGTCGCTCTGCATCCATGACAGGTTGGATTGGCCTTGTATTGGCAATATATTGCTGCTATATTGGTGCGATATTGGTACTATATTGCTGCTATATTGGCGCGATATTGGTACTATATTGGTACTATATTGCTGCTGTATTGCTGCTATATTGGCCCTGCATTGGCCCTATGTTGACACTAAACTGGCTCTGTATTTTACTGCAGGACAGACAAAATGCCCTGATCTAAGTGTCCTAGTAAAACAGCAAGTCTTCCATTCTCACCACTCTAACCTCTGACCTTTAGGACTCTCTGGACATGAGTGAAGAGACAGGCCATCCAAATGGGCCGACTGTTTTTATGTAATCTTTTTTAGTGCTTAAAGTTGACACTGAATTGTGCGATGACACCTCAGTGAGAAATGAAAACGAGGGGAAACACCCACACTGTTCAAGGAGGAGACCAAATGAACACATGAAGACAAATGAACACATGAACCGAAGACAAACGAACTGGGCCGGAGCTCCTTTATCTGGTTCCAGAGAAAGAATAAAGCCCGTCTCCAGTCCCTCGTCCTGCATGGTGACGGTCTGCAGCGTCTCATCCGCAGGCTGCAGGATGGCTGCCACACAGGGAGGACAACACATCACACATGCAAAGTTGTAAAATGCGTCTCATGCTGACGGTAGCATGAATTAATCAGCCAGCAGCTCTGAGGACGCACTCTGCCTCACATCAACAACAAACCAGAGCAAGGTCCAAGTGCAGCGCAGGAACCGAGCAGAGCGAACAGAAAGACCCGAAAAAAAGAAAAACTGCTCATCACTGGTTCTCCATCTTTTCCTCCCCGCTGGGTTTCCACAAGGTCATTTTTGCGCACGACGCAGGACACCTCCAAGGATGCACATTTACAACCTCCTTCACGATTCACAGCAGATAAAACGACAGATAACCAGGGAGGCTGCGGGGATTTCATCTGAGAGGAAGAGACACTGAGGCGGGATCTGGAAACCAGGCAAGGGCACTGGAGCCCAACCAGCGCTGATTAGCAGACATGGCTTAGAAATCCGGAGCTGCGGGTTAGCGCTGCTTAAAACCGCTAAACAGAACACAATGTGATCTCTGAGAAGGATGGAAGATGTTTGTTCTCTGCAGGAACCAGAGCAGAGCGCAGCGGGCAGCAAAATGGCCCCAGAAACACATTTCAAACCGATTTCTATCTTCATTGATCAATTATGATCATTTAGGGGCTTTAAGGTCATCGAAGAACCATTTCATCAGGAGGCTGTCAGGAATCCTGGCTGTGAAATGATCACAGAACCGAATCTGATCTGATCCGGAGCGAGAGGGGGAGAGGAGGTGGTGATGTTGGATTCAATAATCTTACCTTTGGGATGAGCAGGTCAGCGCATTTTAGGGCGACTGGGATGATATCGGCGCAGGGAGTCACCTGGATCCTTCAGCAGAAAGTGGCTTCTGCGCTGCCGTGATGCTCCTGACGCAGAGACTCACTCCTCCCCCTCCCGCCCGCTTCCTTTCTACTACACAGCATCCTGCATGGACACACACACACACACACACACACACACACACACACACACACACACACACACACTCCTCTCCTCCTGCTCGCTCCCGTCCTGGTCTCAGCTCCAAACCAGAACCAAGCAGAGGCCCGGATGCGTGAAGATGCTTCTTTTCTTTTCCAGCCAGTAAAGATTCCTGCAGCTCTCTTCTTATTCAGACAAATGGAGAAGTCTCCAGGCTTCCGCTGCAAATGTTTGGTGATGCAATCTAAGCGAGGCTCCCCTGGCACGTGTCTGGGCTCGTGCCTGTAATTGTGAGAGATCAAAGAGACCCTGATGGGAACCAGAAAAGCTGCTCATGTTATGATGAGGTGATGAAGAAGAGCCAGATGTCTTCCTCCCGACCCCCCACTGATGGCTCAGCATCAATAACCTGCAGCAAAATCACAATATATTTCATTCATAGGTTTTTGTGACACAAACACAAACAATAATATCTAATTTGTTTATTTATTTACATTCGGAATATGAATAAAATGATTACAAATATCCCAGAAATATTAATTTATTTATTTGCTTGTTTGTTTATTTATTTATTGGTTTGTTTTTTTTATTACGTTCTTAATATAAATTTTAAAAAATCTGTATATTTAAATTTTTAAAAAATGTTGAAAATATTGAAAATATTGAAAATTTACATCTCATTTTGGAAAATCTGGGGCATGGAGGTAAACAGTAATTTTATTTTTTATTTATTTATTTATTTTTTTGCCTTTGTCAATCAAAGAAAAGAAACTCTACAAAAAATATGTTGACAGAAAAATACATACAGAACATGTACAAAACAGCTTTTTGGTTTTCTAGCTGCTCCAGCCTGAAGTCAATGAACCATAATGAGAAAAGAAACTATTATAATATTGCAAACAACACAAGCTGATGCAGTAAATGTCACCTAAAGCCTCTGTCGTCAGTTCCACACCAGGTGGTTCTGGTTCCGGTTCTGCTGCTCATAACAGTCGGTTAAATCAGCAACAATCAATGGAGCTGATCCAGAGAAGAACCGCTGAAAGCTCCGTCTGATTGGGTCGGATCTGACTGGACTGCTGCTGGTGATCGGATTCATAATTCATAAAGGAACAACAGCACCTGCACTTCTCGTCTGTTCTCTGCTTCATGCTGAATTCTAAGAGCATGTTTGTGATTTTCAGTCGGCTTTTTATTCTGAACAAACTTCATTCGTTCACAGTTTATTTCATAAGTAATTTATGAAGCATATATGGAGAATTTAAAAATGACTTTGGTAAATATTTATTCAGGTTTTATTCCATTGGTTTTAGATGCAGCTGGGAGGATTTTTGTTCTCACTGTTTTACTTTCAGACTGTGATGCATAACCATGGCAACAAGGCCACAAGTTTTGGGTTTCTAGATTTTGCTTGGGTTTGAGTTTTGTTGCTGTTTTCAGTCAGCAGTTATTTTGTCTTTCTTTCCTCTTGTTAAGAAGAAAAAGAAGAAAAAGAAGAAGAAGAAAAAGAAGAAGACGACGCTCGTCGGTTTGAGACTTGCTTTAAATTTACTTTCAGTTTGTCCTTTGTCTCCATCTAGTGGTCAGACTAGAGAAAGCGCTGATAACTGGCTGATTCTGATTGGATCAGATTTCATCAATCACTCTTCTGATCCCCATTTAATTCACATTTTTTCCGTCTCTTTATTTATGTTCTGAATATTAATAACCATCGTTAAAAATGTTACGTTAGCACACATTTGTCTTTCCCCTTAAATAATTCGATAATTTAGCAAAACTAAATAAACGGAAGCTTTAATTTTTTAAATAAATAGTTCTTCAATTACATTGTAATTACTTTAAAGGGTCAGTGTAAATTTTAACCAAAAAAGTTCAAATGAAAATAGTTTTTTAAGGTCTAAATCCTTTTTTTTTTGTTTTTTTGTGTGAGAATGGTCGGTTCACTCAGACTGTTTGTCTGTTCATCCCAATAAGCTGCTTCTTTTCCTTTCTTTTCTTTTCTGTTCTTCTTTTTTTGGATTCAATTTCAGTGTAATATATTACACAATATCCGGGATCAGTTTTAGTTGAAAAATGAGACTAAAATATCTTCCTTAAGCAAAAAGAGAGCGAAAAGGCAGATGAGGGTCTTTGTGTATTTTGTGCTTCCTGCTCTCTGAGCTCATTGGTAAAAGAGACGTGATGCAACTGAAGCGCCTCAGTTTCTCCTCCCCCTGCTGTTGCTGAGGAAGAGGAGGAGCAGGAGGAAGAGGAGGAGGAGGAAGAGGAAGACGCCAGAAGAAAGTGTTGAGAGGCGCCAGAGAGGTCGACAAAGAAAGCGGCGCTTTGTCTTCCTCTGCTGAAACACCAGCATGATGATGAAGATGAGCGCACATCCTCTTCATCCCTGTCAGTGGGAACGTTAGGAGAGGGGGGGGGGGGGGGGGGCAGCGGAGGGGCGGATCGGGGTCGTTTCCCTCCTCAGGAAGGTGGGGGCGCCGCGGTGCGTCCTCATTTAAAGAGCCTCGATCGGCGCTGTTCCGGTCCAACATGACGCTCGACGGAAAGCAGCTCGCTGGATCCTGGACGTGAACATGAGAGCAACAGGCATGGATCTGCTGTGGAGGATCCTCACTGCGCTCAGCTTCGACTGCTTCAAAGACTCATCTTCATCACGGTGAGCCCCTACCCACCACCATCATCATCATCAGCGATCCACCTGATTGCTCCTTTGGATTCAGGCTGAAATGGCCGAATCAATCCAGATGCAGCTGGTGGGCGTTTACAGAAAAAAGACACAAAAAAAAAAATCAGTTTCTGGTGGCTTCCAACGAGCTCGCTCATATTTTTAGTCCCATATATAGATATTCAGCCACTTGTCGGTTTTCTAAAGATAATCTCTTATTGCGTAACTCTTTCACCCTCAGGCAAGAAGCTTTAAATTCTGATATTTCGCTGCTTAAAAAATAACAACTGAATTATTTAAATGTCAGTACGGGACGTGGAAAATGATTCTTCAACACTAAGAGAAACTAGCCCCCCTCACACACACACACACGCACGCACCCACCCACCCACACACACACACACACTTCTCAGCTGCAGTGACAACAGGTTTCCTCAGTCATGCATGCTCTCATTTTCTCCAGCTCTGCATCAAGGAGCCACTTTCTGTCCCTGAATCGAGTGAAATCATAAGTTACGGCCTGCATCCTGCAGAAATCCATTTAACTTTAATCCTGCACAGCAAAAATGAGCCAGAATGTTCAGATGTTGTTTCTAACAGGTTGCTGCTGCAACAACCTTTCATTGAAGAAACATCCAGTCCCACAACTAAACACAGAACTGTAAACGGTCCGTTTACTGTTGTGCAATCTGCCTTTAACTCCACCCAGACTGGGATCGTTTCTGGTCTGACCAGTTAGCTTTTCACCTCTGGAGCAAATCTGTTCACACCAAATCAGTCTGTAGACAAACATGATGGGTCGCATTCAGCGCTGGAGAAAAGTCACCATCACCTGCAGGTTGATTCTGATTATCAGGTCCATTCAGCTGCTGATTATTGATCAAATCTGCAACACATCTCATCGTCCAGATGGACCTCCTCTGTTTTAAAGCAGAGATTCAGTTCTGCTCCTCAGACCTTTATTTTAAATAACTAAATTTTTATCTGAATGCGATTATTGTAAACATTACAATCAGTCATTAAAATAAACTTAATCCTTCATCAAGATGGCAAAACAAATGTGGTTGCATGTTAAGATTGGGAGATGAGAGGAGACTATTCAAGATGATAAATTTGATGTTAACAATTGATGTTAAGAGCTCTGATTGGCTGCGGGATCAGAGTTTCTTCTTGATGTTGAATAATAGAGATCCGATAACAGAGCCAGAGGAACCCCACATAACCCAGAATGAGCAGGAATCCTTCATGATGAGGGAAGACTTTATCTCACTCAAAGCTACATGAATTCCAGGCACGCATCACTTTTCCTGATCTGTTAATCAAAGAAAACATTTAATGAACCAGTTCTGAAAGCGTCACATATTCGTTCATCAAATTTAAGTACAAGGATGAATGTGACACATTTTCAGGTTAAGTCATAACTGGATATTCAGACCTAAAACCTCACAACTTTAAAACAAATATTTTAAATGATTCAAAACAGCTGATTCTTATGTTCTGAGAAAACTATTGAATTAAACTTTAACTGTTGATCATTCATATCAGCATGAAGCAAGAACATTATGGGAGTAAAATTAATGGTAACATCCCTGAGGGACTCCATGTGCACATGAATGAGTGTTGTTCCCGTCTTTCCCCAGGTCTCCCGCTAAGCTCAGCTCCAGCCAGGCTGGCAGCTTGGAGAGCAGCTCCCTGACGGGCTCCCTGTCGCTGGGGCCCGACCTGCCACACTGTCAGTGCTGCATCACCAACGAGGTGCGGCTCAAGCGCCTCTCGTGCGGACACCTCTACTGCAGCCCCTGCTGCGACCAGATCGTCAACATGGCCTTTGAGGACATCGAGGGTTTGTCCGAGTTCCCCTGCCCGATGTGCAAGTCCATCCGGCAGCTGGGAGGCCTGGCCCCGTCCTCCTCTGGGTACTTCTACGGGCCCTGCGGGATCCTGCAGGAGCCGGGCACCGGGAGTCGGTGGGGGTGAACGTCTTTCCTCACATGTTGGACTTCAGATTTCCTCAGCTCTGAATGCACTGCCTCTGCCATTAAGCTCACTTTGGACTAAAGTCAGTCATTCCACATTATTTTGTCTCTTGCTTTGTTTTTTAATGGCAACCTGCTGAAACGAAGGAGAATGCTCAGTAAGAACCAGGATGCATTTCCAGAGACGGGTGGACAGTTCAGCACAATAAATGTGAAAGAACATTTCATCCCAAAGTGTCAACAAAACGCCTGGTGAGTCTTTCCTGAACTGGAGACGTCACATGAGCTGAAGTGGATGTTCACCGTCAGTATTCACCGTTTTTATTTGCACATGAACTCTTCACACGGTTTTATCCTGCGTGTCAGTTTTTAGTCCTGATTTTACTGTAAAGGCGCCATGCTACTCTAAAGTGTTGCAGATCATTTTGTACGTATTTATTTTGTTAAAAAATAAAGTTTGTGAGCCTGTGTACGACAACGTGTTTATTCGGGGAAATTCATGTTTTCATGAGCAGAAATGAGAAACACTTTGTTCATCACAAGCAAAACATGCTGGTACAAAAAAAATATATTTACATCTGGCAAACTTTTAATTTTAAACAACATCCGTACCAAAAACTTTAAATAAGAGATGAAACCAGAGCAGCAGAGGTGAAATTTTCCATGAGAAGAGTGACGAGTTCATGGGGAAGAGGAACAGGTTGGCAAGCTGAGTGTTTTGATGTTGATGAATATTTACAATAATCGACTGAGGTATTGTCCGGCAGGACATCAGGACTGATGGCTGTTATCCCGCTTTCAAATGAAGGAAGCAGAAAAACTAAACTAAGCAAAGCTTCCCTTTGCTGCCGATACTGGTGTCCTCTTAAAAAACACTAACCTGATCAGAAATGACTCCAAACATCGAGAATTGCTAAATAACACTCAGAACTACGTCACTGACATCTTTCAGTTTCAGAATTTAATACTTGAGCAATCCTCTGGTTTCATCTGGATGAGCCAGGCTGCTGATTCAGATGTCTTAAAGGGACATTTCACTGCTTTTTTTAGCTGTATGATGTAATGTAGATGTATGAAACTTAGACTGGATCAGGCTGGAACTCAAAACCAGAAAATACTTACAAAAATAGCAGTAAAGTGGTCAAGATGAATTGTGGCAAATGAAAGATAAAGGATGCAATTTAAATATAAAAATTCAGACTTATGTTTTAGAAAAACGAAAAAGTTCTGGAGGCAGATTTCTACAACAATGTGACAAAATCTGACTCTCCTGCCTGCGAGACGATCTGAGCTGTGCCTGCAGACACATTTAATACTGGGGAGTGAAAGTAGGCCCTCTCGCTGCTCTGGAGATGCAGCGGCGGAGGGATACAAGACCAAAAATAGATCTCATGTCCTAAATTCCTCATTGAAGCCGGAGGTTGAAGCACCGGCAGCTTTCAGAAACCGTCGACAAGAACAAATCTGTTTGCATATTGAGTAATCACACAGCGTAGAGGTGGACAGCACTGAACAGGTCCGGTCCGGTCCAGTCCAGCAACCTCCCAGTTCATCTGAGCAGTGTGGAAACAGAACCGAGTCTCTGTGAAGTTCAACGGCTTCAATTTTTGCATTTCTGTTGAGTCTGATTTCATTTGAAAGAAAAAGTAGAAATGGTTGTTTGTCTGTCCAGCACAGAGCAGAGTTCTTCTTCCAGGCCCGTTGTCACACATGACGGGACCAACAGGGTCTCATACTGGTTTCACAGGCTCCTGGATCTCAGGAAGTGAGCGACGAGCCGTTGCTTTTAGGCAGCTTGGCGGCGCCGGGCGGCGGATGGTAGCGAGGGTTTGACCGTGTTTCTGCTACCGCCGAGTGTCCGAACAGGAAGGAGTGTTTAGGGCCGTCCCTGGTGGGCCTGGGAGGCGGCGCCGAGGCGGAGGTGGGGGCCCTGCAGGTGGGGCCCCTGGAGGTGGGGCCCCTGCAGGTGGGGCCCCTGGAGGTGTGCTGGTTGGTGGAGGTAGACGGGGGGGTGGTTTTGGGCCGGAGCGGCGAGTAAAGGAAGGTGCTGTTGTTGGTGCTCTGGTTCATATTGGTGTCGGGTCGCCGGGGGTCAGAGGTCACGGTGAGCGAGTCAGGAGCAGCGCAGGGGGAGAGCTGGGCCAGCTGGTCCCGGAGCTGCTGCACCTCCTGGGCCAGACGGTCCACTGGGTGGGGCCGGTTGGCCGACACCGGGTGGGAGAAGGCCTGAGAACAGAGAGAGGGTCAGGCCGTCCCGATACCCCGAAATAAAACCAGCTGTTAATCCAACAGATTACAGGATCTGTAATAAACTAATAGCATTTTAATCATATATTTACAACATTTTCAATTCAAAACGCATTTTGCAGCTAAATCTTTGGATAAACAGATATTTAAGCTCAACAGATATTTACTCTTTTTAATCTGTTATTTAAATTATTCAACCATCAGGTTGGTTGAATAAGTTCAGCGTTCTCTTGTTACAGGAACCGCTGATCTTTTTTTTTCAATCCAGGGTGAAAAAACTGAACTATTTGTTTAGATTAAGCTCACTGAGGAGCTCTGAATGGTCGATTCACTGCAGGTTTCTACAGATAGCAGAGATCAGATCATTTTATCTCAGGCCAGAAACGGCTTTAAACAGCAGCTGCTTTCAATTCTTCACCCTTACAGGCCATATTAATTACCACAGCGCTCAGATTTATGTATAGAAATGCTGCATGCATCAGTGCAGCTGGATAAAAATATCAGCATGTAGCACCAGCAGACAGTCAGAGCAGCTTTTCACACCCAGCAGGCTTTTTTCATTTCCAACCTAATAAAGACGATGACTGATTTCACCCGGATAAAGGAAACAGTCAGACACCTGCAGCATCAGCAGATCGTGTTATTAGCTTCTGTTGCTAGTTATTAGTGAGCACCTCCGGAGCATCATGGTTCGGTTTGCTCCAATCAAGACCAATAAAAACTTCTTTTAAATTTGGTTGGCAGTAAATAAAGAACCTTTGAAAATGTATGAATTTTTTTATCTTATAGAGTTCAACCACTAAAAATAGCTAAAAGTTTCTTTTCTTTTTTATCTCTGAGATTTAAACATAAAAATGTTTTTACTCAAACCGACCGAAAACAGAACTTAACAGGTTTTAGGACAAGAAAAACAAAAAGCAAGTCATGTATTTTATGGCTTTTAATGGATAAATGAGAGTGATTTTCAAATCTCTTCATTTTCAAAGTTATTTCCTTTATCAAAGATCCTGTTGCATATTTTAGTGTTTGGAAGGAGAATCAAAACTAAAAGCACTAGGCCCTGAGTTTAGATGTTTCCAGGCTCTGCGAGTTTTCAGAGTGACATTATTAAGTCACTTCATCTGGTGAATCATCCAGACATTTATAGGAACCGAAACTCAACAGACCATTCAGCCCATTTGTTGTCACTGATGATTTGTGTTTCTCTCATATCTTCAGGAAAATCTATAAAAAGCTCCAAAACGTTTCATAATCACTTCCTGTAACATGAGGTGGAGTTTAATAGCTTCCCTCTGCAGCGTGTGTGCAAGGGATGACGGCATCCGCCCACACGGGCCTGGACTATTCTTATCATGGCCATGGTAACGGCATTAAGACGCACCACGAAGCCGCCGCCGCTCTGCTCTGGGAGGAACTGACCGGCAGGTCCGACTGACCGGCAGGTCCGACTGACCGGCAGGTCCGACTGACCGGCATTTCTAAGAGTCATCCGCTGGATTCCTCAGTCCTGCCACGTACCTGAGCGTGCAGCGCCCCCCGCAGGTAGCACTCCCTCCACAGGCTCATGCAGGGACCCATCAGGAGGGGCAGCAGCGGCTCGTACGGATCCAGGGGCCCCCTGGGGCCGGAGGCGGCGGCCGTGTTCTGGGGCAGCTCAGTCAGGGCCCACGCCTTCAGCAGCCGCTCCAGGCCGGGTACGTTCTCGCAGGACGGCGCCCTCCGGTGGCTCTTTCTGTACGCGCCCGAGCCGCCGCTGCGCCAGGGCGGCAGGTTGGCGGGGCAGGTGAAGGCGCCGCGGGAGAGCAGGAACACGGAGCCGGGGCCGGCGTCGGGCAGCTGGAGGGCCGCCACACAAACACACAGGAAAATAAAAGATTTGACTGATTGAAGAGCAACAACATGAAAACTTCACATTTTCAACAAGTTTATTGTTGAAAGCAAATAAATACATATTTATAAAAATATGTATTGATTTATAAATCAACCTGCCGTCTCCAGTCCAATTGGCAGGTTGATGTTTAAGCACAATAATAAACACATCATAAAAAGCATATGTGATAATACATAAAGCATTCACATCTTTGCAGATACTACCCATGATGCATTCTGCTTCATTCTTTTTTTTCTGGTGATATTTAATATTTTCATAATCAAAAATTACATTAATTTGATCAAATCAAAACAATATTTTATTTCATCCATTCAAATTATTCTTCTTCCATCAACAACATATTACACATAAAAAGTTAATATTTTTTCTCCATTCTGCTCCTCAGAATCAGATCTTTATTCGTGTCCAAACGGGCGCATCATTTTAAGCACAATAAAAAAACAACAAAATAACAGTAATTAATAATTAATTAAAGGTCCTGGCACTAAATTCTCCCGCTTCAACCAGTGGAGGTTAAAACACAAAACATACATGTGAACAATAAATAAACCAATAAATACATTCAGTTTAGAAACTATACTGTTGTTGAAAGTGTATCTAACTACTTCTAATTATGCTGCTCCCACTTGCCAGCAGCAAGAAACAGAGATTTTGTAACTTAAAGGAGTTTTGATACTGGTTGAATAAATAAAGGTTGATAAAAATCCAAGGTCCATTTTGTAAACAGTTAATGTGAAAACTGATGCATCTCGGTGAAGGAGCAGCAGCTTGTTTTAGGTCCACCACTAGAGGGAGCTGTGGTTTCTCTCCAGAACAGGATGTGATTTCCTGCTGCTAACAGCTGGGGCTGGAAATTTATCACATCATTCATTTATCACTGAGGATAATTTTGATCTTTATAAAAAACATTGTCTGTATTGTTGCTTTTACTATTTTCTCAAACATTTTTTCATCAATAGAATAAAAAAACATGAATCATTTGAAAATATGATTAAATGCAGTTACTGTGTACAGTACAGGGGTGTAAAAGTTTTGGGATTTTTATGATTTTTATTTCATTGTCACTTTTTGTTTGTCACCTTCAGTTAGCTTTAATCAGTTTTTGTGTGTTTGCTAGTTTTTATTAGTTCATTATTGTTTAGTTTTCATTAGATATTGTAGATTTTGTTTAGTTCAAAAGGCTATACTATACTAACCTTGATGCATGCAGTGATACAAATCGCATTTCTTTTTGTGCCTCGTGTCCTAAAGAAGAGTTTGCTGTTTCATGTATTCATAGTTATAAAGTTATCTAAAAAAACTAGTTTAGCCATTTTTATCACAATAGTACCACAAAATATTGTGATAAAGCAAAGTGTTAGCTTTAAGTGTTAGCATCTCTGGCTCAGACCATTTACCCTGTGTGTGTCCAGGTTGGTGTTGAGGTTTCCGTTCAGCAGCGGCTGGAGCGGCGGCGTCGGGGTGACGGGTTGGGCAAAGCCGTCCCGCCTCTCCCGACTGTACTGCAGGGCCCAGTCCCAAACCGGAGGCAGCGGAGGGTCCGACGTGTCAGAGGAAGAGTCCGGACCCAGCATGTCCCTCCAGCCGTTAATAGGCGTGTACAACTGGCCCACGTTCTGCCAAGAGTCAAAAACAAAATGAGTCAGAAACGTAGTTCTGGGCAGGATGCAGGAGTTTGTCCCAGGTGTTTAGTACCTGGGAGCGTTTGCATCTCTCCCGCTGGCAGTTTGACAGGAAGGTGGAGAAGAGCGGCAGGTGGACGCTGTCGTGCAGGGCCAACAGGAAGTCGTCTGTCAGCTGGAAACGGGACGGGAACTGGAACCACAAGTGCCAGACGCAGTCCAGAAAGAGCAGGAAGACCGGAGACTGCAGGAACAGGGAAAGATCAGGGTGCGTTCACACCATCAGTCCGCTTTAACCCAACTCTAGTTCGGTTCGTTTTCTGAGAATCAAACTCTGAAGTGGACCAAAAATGTGTCTTCTTCAGAGGTTTTTCTTGTCATTTCCTTCAGTAGTTCTTGGAGCAGTGTTGTGTGAACAAGAACAGCAGGAGCTGAAAATCTTAATAAATATTTGGTTCCCAAATAAACCGAGTGGAGCGGACTAAAACGCCACAAGAGTAGAGGGAATATGGAGAGTTGATGTTGGACATTTTGATCGCTAACTTGCTTGCAGTTTTGGAGCCTCACCTCCTCCTTGTCGCTGTCCCGGTGGTAGTTGATGCGGCTGTAGAAGCGGTGGCCGGCCATCACCCACTCCTTCTGCACCAGGCCCTGGAAGCCGTGCTGGGTCCGATAGTGGGGGTCGCACATCACCTGGACCAGGCTGGACACCAGGCAGCTCATGTCACGGTCCTCTACCTCTGGTTTGAAACACAGGACAGCGAAGAGGTTTAGCTTTACGCCAATTTCTCCAAAAAGCAGCATTAGAGGAACCAGAGGGGGAAAATGGCTGATCACAGGTCTGCAGGATGACAAACTGCCCCTGTTTGACTAATACAGTGTGGCGTCTATGTCACAGTGTTTCTGTTCTCCCACAGCAGATGGTGAGAAATGAGCAAACATGTTTGTCTGACAAGTTTCAACATGATCCAACAGCCCTGATAGCCTCTTTACATCTTCGTTTCCAAAGGCAGTGAAGACAAAACCTCCAGTGATCCAGAAAAATGCTCCAACGACAGATGCATGCTAACTCGGCCATCATGCTAACTCTGATCACTTTGAATGATAATGAAACAAACAAAACCTTCCAACTTTGAAGTGAATGGTTCTGGTTGGTCTCTTGATGCAGATCCAGGTTTTAGGAAATGTTGATTTGAGGCAGTCCTCTTCTTTTATCATTTAATCCATTTTGTGAAATGCATCAGTTCAGTAACACAGCCCCGCATCATGATGTAGCCACCACCATGCTCAACAGTTAACGGTGTTTTCATAGCATTGATCCCTGTAAATGCTCTTCTCTCCATTCTGGCCCAACAGCTCAGTGTTTATGAAGTCTGTGAGATTTTTCCCCAGAAGGAAACTGGCCTCCAGTTTCTGTCCGTTACTGTGACTGCATTTAGTTTTCCTTTGGGATGAATTCAGTATTTCTGATTTGAGTAACTGACTGAAGCCTGAGAAAATTGTGTTGTTACTGAAGGAAAAACAAGAACATATATTCTAAACAAATATCCTTTTAAAATAATAATAAAAAACCTAACATGCAATAACAGCATTTCTTTAGTTAAAGCTGCATCATTTCTAGCAAAGGAAGCATCAGCAGCTAAAACAATAATTCTCACATCAACAGATGAAAAATGGTTTTGATTAACAGCAGAAGGTGGTTAAATAGAAAATTTTCTAACTGAACCAAGAGAAGATGAAATTAAATTAAATCTGACAGGTTTAGAGTCTCCTTCAGAAGCTGAACTAAGTCACATCAAATGATAAAATTTGTGCAGTTAGAGGCAGTGGTGTGGATTTACCTGTCAGGTGAAGCAGCGGTCGCTGCAGGCTCAGAGCGTATCTTTTGTTTGGAGGCCTTTAACTGTGCATGTAGGTCCAGTGGAGTGTGGTTGTTCCTGCTAACGCACTACTTCACTCTGAGCCCTAACGTGGCTTTAATGAGCAGGACTGATGTGAATAATGGATGGATGGACTGAATAATGTGAGCCAGGGTCCGGCATCATGTGACTCACCCTGCAGGGCCACAGTCAGGTGACCGCTGCGCAGCAAACAGGAAACCTCTGACGCTTTCCTCAGACACGACCTGGACACACACACACACACACACACACACACCCACCCACCCACCCACCCACACCCACACCCACACCACACACACACACACACACACACACACACACACGCAGAAAGGTTAAGGAACGACATTCCCCAGAGTGTTGATCTTGGAATAAAAAGGAAATATTTGCAGTTTTGAGTAAAACGATGCTGACTGAGCAGCTACTCTGCAACATTTAGTCCTCTGAGGATCCTGGAGGATTTCTGTCTGGTTCCAGAGCGAGAACCGAACCCCGGAGCCGTTCAGCTGGCAGTCAGGTTCACTCTCTGGTTCTGCTGGTCTGAACATAAACCTTAACAAAAACATCCAAACAGACTAAATCTGTTTTTTATTAATAATAATAATAGAGAGGCTGCCTCATATCTCTCTTTCATATGTTTTTGTTAGTACTTACATATAGTTAAATATTATTTTCCCAAAATGCACTGGCAGGAACAAGATGCAGCAGCAAACTTTAAGGAAGGGAGGAAGGAAGGGAGCAAGCAAAGAAGGAAGGAAGGAACCAAGCAATGGAGAGCTGGAAATAGAAACAACATTTTGATCAATGGAAAGGAGGAACAAAATGGAGAAGGAAGGACAGAGGGAAGACAGGATGGAAGGATAAAAAGAAGGAAGCTTGAAGGCCTGCTAGTGAACCTAAAAGTCTAATTTTCCTTCCAGGAGAAAAATATCTGAATTTCTTCACAGTGTTGCAGACGAGCTGAATGTCTGGAAGATTAACTGCTGTCATGCCGCATGCCTGGTGCATAATGGGAGATGTAGTAGAATACCACGACATCCAAACGAGCATAAAGCGCCTGGAAGCTGCATGTGAGAGAAACTGCAGACTGTGAGGTTTTACCTGATGTAGTCCAGCCAGTGCGTTCCCTCCAGCGTGGATAACCACTTATCATCAGGCACTGACACAGACGAGGAGATATCTAAAACCCAAACATGACCTCAGAAACTACACACACACACATGCGAAAGCATTCAGATCCCACTTCATCAACAGTTGTATGAGGAATAAAACCCACATAACGCTGAGCCAATCACTGAGCATCTAGTTTCATTATGAAGGACTAAATCCTCCTGCTAACCGACTGAATTCATGTGTGGGTGTTTTTGGGTGTTTGTTCACAGCAGAGAGCTCTGCGCTGTGAAACAAGACAAAACGCAGAGCAGATAAATGTGTGAGCTGCGATAAAAGCGACCTTCACACACCGTTTCTGTGAGAGTATGGATGACTTCTGCATGTGAAGCTGAGGTGGAACATGCTGCTAGACTCCTTTGTTTCTCTGGCAACTCTTGAACTCAAATCTCACAGCTGTACAAAGGGCTGCAGGTCTTACAGGCCATTGTGCACTTTTGTTCTTTTTGTACCAGATAAATTCATCTTTCTGCCTTAAATCATTTTGTCCTTTCATACTATTTTTTGGGCTGATTTATACATAATTTAACAACAATTACTTTCTAAAATATGCTCCTAATGTGCTGCAGGAAGATAAGATTACTGTATATGACTCCAATAAATCATATCTACCAAAAAAGGGAAACGTCTATTTGACTTTATTAAACTTTTTAGGAAAAAGTAATTTGCATAACTGGAAATTTGTTTCAGAAATGCAAATTAAAGCGATATTCAAAAGTTTTTTTCTTAACTTAATACAGTTACTTCCAGTAATGTCATTAGCAATGCACCGCTAGCTAAATATCTGCGCTAATCCTAAAGAACAAACTATAGACAGTTTCACTAACACTTAAGCTAATGCTAATGCTAATACAAAACCTTATGTTGTTACTCACCAGGTATGAATATCAACATGTGGTGCAACATAGTATATTATCAACAAGCTACTGACATCCACCTGTTCGGTTTGAATCACATAACTGCACTCAGGTAGTTTGTGTAGAATTTTGTTTTCCTATTTTACATTAAAATAAACAAAAAAACTTAATTTATATTGTAAATATAACTGAGGAAGCTTCCAGTTTTATAGAAATTGTCCTGAAATGTAAAACTTTAGAAAATAGATCAGTTTCCACCACACAGATTTTTGGTAGATATTTTTGGTTTTCTGCGCTGCCTGGTGGTTCAGGCACATTGTGGGGACCAAAGCCTGGTTCCCACAAGGGAAAATGGTGTTTTTGGCTTATGGGTTAGGTTTAGGACTAAGGTGTGAATTGGGTTTTGCTGCTGCAGAAATGAATGGAAGTCAGACAAACGTGTGGATGTGAGCGTGTGTGTCTGAGCCCACCTCCCAGACAAAGGGCCCGCAGGCGGCTGTGAGCCAGCTGGATGTCGGCGGGCGACGGCAGATCATCGCCCAGCTCCACCACCACGCACAGAGACGACTGACAGCCGAACAGAACCATCTCCAGGTTCCTGCAGAGCATCACACGACACTGGGTTACTTTACCACCAGCTCACCTTTGGTGTGTTACAAGAAAAAGAAAGTACAGCCTCTGTAAATTCTAAGATTTTAGACATAATGAACATAAATGTTGAAATTAGTGACAGGACAAAAGAAAAGTATTGAAGGAGAAAACTTCTTTTTATAAAACAAATATGGGGGCACCACTTAAGTTTGCAAACTGAGTTGATCAGAGTTTTCTGGACTCAAATCTGAGGTCAACTGATAACGATACCAAACATGGCAGAAGCCTTGAAGAAAAATAAACAACGACCTAAACTTGACTGAAAAGCTGAACTGAAGCAATGTCAGGTTGGGTCAAAATACCAGCAAAGTTTTTCCTCGCATGGCTGACAAGTAATGATTTTTTAAAATTCTGTACATTTTATTTGTCTGTGGCGACTCCAGTCACAGCAGGAAGCTGTTCATAAATAGGAAAGTAAGAAGAGAGAGTCTAAACTAGGTTCTGCTGTTGTGACTCTAAGCAGCTTTTAATCTGCAGCTTTAATAAGTAGCTTGTGGCTTTCAGCTGTTCCAATGTATTTCCTGTTCAGGGAGCAATAACACTCATCTGAGCTTCTTCTCAACACGCTGACAAAAATAAACTCCAGCTGCAGAGTAAAAACACGACAGTCAGCAGTAAACCTGCACAGCACTACCTTACAGAAAGGAAGATAGAGATCAGCTCAAAGACTTTCAAAAAACTCATTTAAAGAAGCTGTAATCTGTGGTGAGGTGATTTTACATCTCACTCTCATGCTTGTTTCAACTAATTAAACTACGTTTATTAAGTTGTCATGTTAAACAAGCGTAAATAAAGTAAGTTGGACAAACTTAATCCGATTACTTGTAACGAACTGACTCAATATTTTTAACTTGGAGTTCCATTCTCCTTTTTCAGAGTAGATATTTAAAGCACAAACATCCCAAACCAAGACAAGAGACTAACAAGCTGTTTCCATCCAAAACATTTCAGGGTTTAGCAACCTAAATGTCACCCAACCTGCAACCAACCCAGTTCATTGTGATCAAACGGTCCTGATTTAACAGACGCAGCTGCGTTCCCAGACCTGATGTCGTCTTTCTCGTGGTAGATGTTGTTCTGGAAGCTGGACATGCGCAGCAGGTCACTGCCTCTGGGATGCCTCCAGCACCAGCGCTGCGACAAACCAAAACCAGAGCGTCACCCTGCCGCATCACACTTTCCACAAAAACAACTAAATTAAAACTAATTCATCCTGAAAGAATGTTAATGAGAAGCTGAAACATCAGCAAACCACTTCAACAAATCACAAATTTAAAAACACAACATGTTCAGAAGCAGCGATGTGAATCAAAGGGTGTTTGTGAAACCTACAGGTATCCGTCCTTCATTAAAGTGGGCAAAACTCTTCTTCAGCTCCGTGTCCAAAACCTTCTGCGGAACGACGATGAACCTCGACAGGCTGTCAGGAAGCAGAGAGAATGGCTTTGGTTGTTCTTTTCATGTTAAAAACACTCAGAGAACACATCAGCAGAGTCTGTTTCTGCTCCGTCGTTTCTTGTTTTTACTGTTTTCAGCCCGTTTGCACAGCCTGAGGTTTTACCTGTTGGACATTTCGAAGCGGTCGTTGACGGAGCTGACCCTCCAGCTCGTGGCGCCGCAGCGCTCCAGCTCCTGCTCCCAGTCTGAGGCGGATTCAAACCAGTTCATGTGGGAGTCTCGGCGGCGGTTGCTTAGGAACTGCTTCATTTCTGGAGGAGGAAAAGCGATTCAAACACAAGGTTGGAATTTTTTATTCAAATATTATCTGTGACACTTTGAAGAGGAGAGCAGAAATAGTATTTAAATTAGATTACACCCCCATTTGCTGTTTCCCAGTTTCATACATTTATGATAAGAAAGTGCACCACTTATACATACATGTAAAATTTGGCTTATTTCATAGTAAAAAGCGATTTTGGGAGTTTTCTGAGTTTCTAGACACAATAACAGAGTATTGTTATACCCCACACCTGAACACCAGAGTGGGCGGAGCCAAGAAATGCGGAGGGGCGTGGCTAACTGCAGGGATTGTTACTGAACGTTCTGTTCCAGTGCTCAAGAAATACTACTGGATTATTCTTAAAAGTGTAAAATATTTATTTACATTATTTAACATATTACTTGTTTTATGAGGGCCTGTTTTCATAAATAATTCAAAGATCATAATTCAGTGCTAATGCATCAACGATCGCAGTTCCAGCTCCTGACTCACCACGAGGGGGCGTATCTGAGTGAGTTTGTTTTATACCTGATCCAGAGCTATGAAACTCAGACAAGAACCAAGCTGCACCGTTTGTAACCAATAGAAAAATTTAACTGCAGTAGCCACCAATCAACCCAAAGAGGGCAGCACTGAGGCCGTTTCACGTTAAATATGAAGAACTAAACAAATTTACACTGAAATGTCAAAAATTGCCTGCGACAGACTGGCGACCTGTGACCCTGTCTTTCGCCGGGAACGTTAGCAGGAGAGGCACCAGCACCTCCCGACCCCACTGGGGACAAAATGGACGGATGGATGGAAAGAATTACGCAGAAACATAAAAACTGCCCTGAGGTTCAAGGTTCACTCTGGTTCAATTCAGGGTTTAATTCAGATAATTTCTCCAAAGGAAAAAAAGAAAAAACTGATTTGTGGCTTTTGCTTTAAAGAAGGAACTATTTAAAAACTCTCTACTAAGAAAAATTTTCTAAAGATTTTCAATCTTAGAAGAAAACATTCGAACATACAAAGAAAAGAATAACACACACACACACACACACACACACACACACACACATCAAAGCCTCATGGGGATCTAGGATATGTCAACATTAACATCAGTACCCATTAAGTAAATTATTAAAAAACAATATTTAAGTTTGCCGATGATTTAGATTCACAGATCTGCATCTGAATGAACAAGACTTCAGGAAAGACGTCTTTTGGACTGAAGACTGAAGTTTGGCTGTGATGCACGTCACGTCACTTGTGTTGCAGCCAGATGACCTGCACAGTTATTGACAGGGCATCGCCTCCTCTGGATACAGAACTGTTGCAATGAAATGTGCCACAAACTATTTGGATTATCCAGTAAAAGGAGAAAGAAACAAACTGTTAAAATATTACATTCTCAATGTCAGATCACCATTTAATGTTTCTTGAATGTTGTCACAGACTCACAACGGACACACTTGACCCTTTAGGGCAGAGTTGAACTCCAGGTCATCTAACTACTTGCTGCTGAAGGGGGCTTGCATTATTAATCCAGAGCCAGAGCGGCCAGCGTAGCGTAGCTTTAGCATACCCTGACATACAGCACGGAGGGGGTTCACGTTTCCATATGTGGCTACACTCAGCAGCGTGTTTAAAAATGTCTGCAATTGCAGCAAACGTCTGAGGTCTGTTGCTATATTAAAATAACTCCTGCTCTTTGATAGCATGATTATATATTTAGTTACGTTGGTTTAATCTTCAAATCGATGTCAGTTTCAACAGATCTCCTCCATTTGCTTATGGTTTCAAAGCCAACGTTTCATTGTCCCGCCACCCAACAGAACGTTTCCAATATCTGCAACTTGGGAGCTTTGTGTGTTATTATGGTCTGCACAGATTGTGTTTCCAATTTTATATTCTCCACAAGTTGGAGTTGCAGCATCACATTCAGACGGTGCTGCAGATGGTGGGAATGACACGCAGACGGATGACGAACCGCAATCACAGATTTTTGTACATTCTGTCTTTAAACCCAAAGTGAGAAAACTATAAAATGCTTCATGGAGACCGAATGAGACGTTGAAACCGAATGAAAATATGATTATTTAGTTTGTTTACTGAATTTCAATACACATGGTTACAGATTTAATCTTAAATGTGAATGTAAAAGATAAACCATAAAAGATAAAGGAGAAACATGTACTCAAAAATTAGCACCTTTGCACTCAACCAGGAAGTAAAAGTCATCCGTAGTCACATGACAAACATTGAGCTATTTAGACAGCCGTCATTATATGCAGCATAATGACACTGGCAACAAAATATGGCTACATGATATGGATTAAAAATAAAATTTCTGATTTTTTTATACCAAATTTGATTTCAGGTGATTTTTATCCTTCACATTTTGTCCTTAAAAAATTATAATGACTGAAAATATAATTTACAAAAGCTGCATTTTATTTTAATCACGTGTTCTGTGAGTTGATTTGGATTCACAGTCAAACTAAAACGAAGCTGTGAAAAGCAATCACCAAACAAGATGGTAGTTCCTATGGAAACCCAGGGAGTACAATGGTGAAAAGTTAAATCTTCAAAACGACTCCAACCTAAAAATTATTAAACATTAAGGACATCGATGCCATGAAGCCAAATCACTTGTACAATTTCTGCCAAGAAGAATGATCAAATATGCAAACGATTACACCAAAATGGCTGCAAAAAGAAACCAAAACGGATATTTAAGCACATATTATGGGGTGGGAGGCTGCATGAATGTTTTTGGACCTATTGGTATGACTTTAACTGTGTATGGATTAAAGAAAAAAATCAAATTAAAATCCAATTAAATTCCTGCTTGTCGACTCAGATGTTTCTTGTTTTTCTCTGTAGTTGTGCAACCATTTCACCCCAGAAGAATGATGGCTCAATTGAATCATTAAAAAGACCAAAATGAAAATAACATATTCATCCTTGAGCTGTAAATGGACAGGATTGGTTCCAGGAATGACCTGGAGCGGATGCAGACAGTAAACCACTCACCTACACTCCCCAGGGCTCCGTTCTGGAAGGCCAAAACGGAGCCGGGTTTGAGAGGCTGGTAGGTCTTGGCGATGATGTAGGTTATCTGAGGAGGGAAACCACAGAGAGTCCGTCAGGAGGACAAAAGGTCGTCAACTTACAGCAGGGAGACCTGAGGCAAACCAGAGGGGCTATGACACTGATGAGCTGCTTCATGCTGAGGCTCTGACATGACTGATGTACAGGGTGATAAGAAACCTGAGCTTTCGGTCTGGTGCAGACACACGCAGGAAGAGGCCGGGCTATGAAACTGTTCTAGAAAACACCAAAACTATTGATTTATCAGTGCGGAATAGTAAAAAAGGAAAAGATTAGGAATGCATCAATCCACGTTTTACACTTCCAATATGGATATCTGAGGTCTAATAAAAAACAGTGCTGAGTTGACTTTAAATGTTTCACAAATGCAAACGAACTGAATTACAAATGTATTTGATAACGTTGCACCAGGACAGCAATAGTTTCACAAGGACCGATACAGATATTAATCTTGGGTCGGTGCATCTTCATCAAAGATATCATTAAATTTGAGCTGATATAACAATCAAGTCTTTGATTCTGTAGAGAATTTGGACCTGCAGAATGTGTGTCATGTCCCAGTGTGTGTATTACTGCTGTCATAAACCAAATGAGATAAGGACACACCTCTATGACCTGCGCATCGGGGGTCAGACGGTCAAACAGGAAGCACATGACTCTCATGTCCCGACAGTAGAGCACCAGCTCCTCCGGAGTAAACTTCAGGGACGAGTTCGGAGTCACCAGCTTGGTTCTGTTGGGTCCAACTGAAACGCAAAGCAGGACAGCAAAACGGTTAAACATTAAATTAACTAAAGCAGAGACAAGCTACTAGAGCGAATCATCACCATACCTACTATAAAACACAACCAGCGCTGCAGGATGGCAGCAGATGCTAAATGCAGGTGATGTTGAGCGGTACCACAGAGTGGGTTTGAGGTGTTACTCACCAGCCACCACTTTCTCTATAGATGCCAGAGCTATGTCATGATCGCCCAGGAGGATTGGATCCGAGTTGTCCTGCATCAGAAATCACAAGGAAGCCAGATTTAGATGGTTGCTGCGTCCTAACGGGTTGCAGATTTAATATATTTACTCTCAATATGTTGGTTTTCAGATTGTTTTTAAAAAAGGAAAAAGTCAACCATCTTTTAAAAACACCACGATTGGACGACTTAGGCATAATAGTTCATTGTTATAGTGTTATTGATGCAGTGGTGGACTCTCAGAGACACATACAGACAGTTATAAAGTCAGTCTTCTATCACCCGAAGAACATTTCCAGGTGTCTCGGTAAGATCTAGAAAGAAAAAAAAAGCTCATCCATGTGTTTATCTGTAGTTTCATTGATTACTGCAACAGTGTCTTCACAGGTCTGCCTAAAAAACAAACATAAAAAAATCAATCCTCCAGCTATGCTGCTGGCGTTCTCATTAAAACCAGGCAGGTAAAGCACATCACCCAGTTCTAAAGTCCTTACAATGGCTCCCTGGAGCTCAAAGAATAGACTTTAAAATACTTTTGCTAGTTTGTAAGTCACTGTAATACATTAAAAATCATTTCTCAATCTTCTAAACCACACAGTACTGAAGACTTTCTCCTTTGAGACAAATGGCTTTTTATCTTTGACAGATGAAGGAAGGAAGGATTGCTGTCTGACTCTTGGTCGACTTTGATAGAGTATTCCACCATTTATCCAAGAAAAGTCTTCATCATATCAGGGATAATATTTTATCATAACTTCCTGAAGATATCCATATTGAAAACTGGTGGCTCTTCTTTCTTGCCATGACTCCATTTTTAGGGTTCGTTCGGTGAAGACTCACATCAGCTTTGGGACTGTCCTGGGGAACAAACGCCACTCTGAAGTGGGTGCAGAAAAGGGTACCAGAGAGCCATCCTCTGCCCTCCCTGGCCGTCAGCTTCTTCCTCACCATCACCGTCCTCTGGAGGACACATTCACCTGGGAGACACACAGACCGCCTGCTGAAATTCAACAAACTTTTCCAACAACACTTCAGCCTCAGAGAGGAGCAACAACAGAAATTGAAAGGAGTAAGCAGCTGGGAGTGGGTGGAACATCCTCCCATCCAAAGGTATGTCCTCACATTGTTCCAGATTGTCATTCTGATGAGTGGAGCTATCAGCTGTTTTCCACGCATCACACACAATCACTATAGAGAGATCGACAAATGTGAGTCAACAATCTCACTCAGACAGGGAAGTTTTGTAAATCTGAAATTTAAAAGATGAAGGCGGAACTGAAATTCCAGAACTCGAACACAGATGTGCGTAAACATGATCGTAAAAGAGAGAAAAAAGAAAGCAGTGTAGCAAACACACACACACACCCACACACACACACACACACACACACACACACACACACACACACACACACACACACACACACACACACACACACACACACACACACAGTAGTGAGGCAGCAGATTTCCAAGCCTCCCCCAGGAATATTACATCCCTGCCAGGAAGACTCAGATCTTCCATGGCAACAGAGACCAGGACTGGGAGAAAACGCTTCTGTTTCACTCCAAAGATCAGCAGAGGAGAGGCTGCTGTCACAATAAGCCACCTGAGGAGGAACCAAATTCCTTTGGTGGAGATGTGAAAAGGAACTGGGACAGCCTTTCAGTCTCGGGCTCAGCCCAGTCTTTCTTTCAGGAGGAAACCAACACATAAACAGGAAACTGCCGTTTTTACAGACATTACACTTCCTTCTGCTGCTGAAAATCAGTTTTTAGTCTCCATCATTTCTCTGATTGCACAAGAGAAGTTTAAATCTAGCAGCATAAACTGTAATTAAGCTCTAAAACCAGTAGAGATTGCAGCGTTTGAGCGCGGAGGGTTTGCAGTGTGTGGTTCTTTTTAAAGTCTCCTCAGGGAGCGGCGGAGCTGGAAACACTCCTGCAGGCGAGACACTGTAAAGGTGAAGCAAAGACAGGGAACACGGCGTCTCAAGTTAAGATTAGACTACAAACTTTGATTCATTCCAGCGTGACTCAGCAGGAGAGGTGAAGGTGTTTATGTTGCCCTTTAATCCATTAAAGGCTTTTTTATGGCCTTCCTGCAGCGCTCCAATTGCATAACAAGCCCTTGCTGTTCTAACACTGAGCTGTTCCACATTTACGCACCAATTAAAACAACACAATCTCGTAACACACTCTTGTTTTCCATAAATTTATTTTATTATTGGGAAAGTTACTATTAAACTTCTGTTCATAAGCTTCATGGCCAGAATTGATAAAATAGTTTCTAGAATTTTGTGTTGAGGTAATCCATTCTGGTGTCGTCTGGATCTGATCTCTGCTTTTCGCAAATGATGTGGTTCTGTTGGTAATCAATAATAATTGTATTATTGTGACTGCATGATGCTGCAACAATAGTCCCTCAAACCCGTTTGTAATCTTCTTTAGGACATCAGTCACATAATCAGTTAATTTGTATCATTAGGCTGTAAATCGTATCTGCACTTAATCATATTTACAAATTTATTGCCATTTAGTGATGCTTTCACTGAACATATCCATTTCAAATTTATATTTTTACACCTAACTTCTACTTCTTTGCATGTTTCTGGTAGAAACGCCTCCATGCTATAACCCCAATCTTCAGCATCCTCAGAAGAACAGGAGGGTGAATCTGCCAGACGTATGAATAATTTTGGGCTGAACCACTGCATGCCGGTGGGATTTAAAAAGGCATTTTGAACCTAATGACTACTTTAAGAAAATAAATCTGAGTAAAACCAGAACCAAATGCTCAGAAACCACTTCATTTTTTCCCCCGTTTTTAACTTTCTACTGAGGTGCAAGCAGAAAAACAATCAACACGTGGAAATCTCAGTGAGTAAAACAGCCCATGTGCTTCTGTATTTACTTTCTGCTGAACTGTAGTCTAAAATAACCAAAATCAACTGGATTAGATTTTAAATCAAAACATAAAGATATCTTCAGGTTTCTTCAGTTTGAAATCTTTATATCACAAAACAAAGAATTTGTTGCCAAATGAAACCAGAGAATCCAAAGATCATCACTCTGTGACAGCCGACTGACAGCTTTAGAGATGGGCAGTAACTTTAGCCTGAGTGGAGAATGATTGTGGCGGTGCTCTGAAGGGGGTTCGGGCCTCGGCTTTGTGTGCGGATGGACAGTACACCCACTCCTCCTTTACTAGCAGCAATGAAACGGTACACGATCTACGTACGGCTGCTGGAGCTGAGCTGACCCGTCTGACCTCCTGCAGGCCAGCTCCGTTTCCAGGTCCTGTGTCCAGCCGTCACCTGAGAATACCGGTAACTACTGACACAACAGAACAGCTTCTGCAAGCATATTTTAATCTGTGAAGCATTTTTAATTTTAATCACCCTCTGATATGAAAGGAAACGCATTTAGGACACTTTTCAAAATGTTATTGAAGCTCCAGTGACATGTTGCATCATGTTTTAGCTCAAGGAGAGATGGCAAATATTAATTTTGTCCAATGTGTTAGCATGAAGCTGCAGAACAGGCCGACTGGAAGAAAGTAAGAGTCTGCAGGCGCAACATGAGCCCTTTCACTTGGTGCAGTTAAACCGACTCCTGACTCCGCGGCGTCTGAAAGAGAACTTGCTCTTACAAACGACCTCAACACTTAGACAGGAGGGAACGTGCAAGGTAACATTTAAAAGATGGATTCCTCTACCTGAATTAGCAGCATTTACATGCAGCTTTAGTTCTGAGGGGAGTCAAACCAGGTCATGGTCGGGATCAGAAAATAAATCATATGTCATTTATTATCTGTCCTTCTCTTTGAGGACAGCTGTGTTTTGAGGACAGCTGTGTTTTTAATCTTGCTGGAGTGAAGGTGAAGAAGAAATGGAAAAAGACAGAACAGTCAGAGGGTTTTACAGAAGAGGAGAGAGAAAAGTTGATGCCAGGATAGGAAAAATAAGAGGAGGCTAAGAACATCAATATTTAACAGAAAAACATTAAAATCTAACAATAGAATAGGTGCTAATGCAAAATAGTGCTTCTTTTTGTAGACTTTTCTTTTGCTAGGCTTTGATCAATCAAGTAATCAGGTTTGATACAAATATAAAACATGTACAAATGTTTTATATTTGTACATAGACTTTCTACTGTTTTGCCAATGTTTCTGTTTGTGTTTAAACTTTCTTTATCTCCTGCTTTGCAGCAAGAAACTATTCTCTAAGGTACAGCTGCTGAGTAACCACTGTAACAAGGCATTGTTTTTGCGATTAGGAGCAGCTGATTAGCATCTTGAGTCCCAGAGGAGTAGAAAAGGAGGCTTCATGGATGCAAAGAGGAAGATCAAACCACCTCTTCCATCCATCCCAACGGGAAGGATGACGGGGGCACTGAGAGTTAAAGAGGAGCAGCAAAAGCAAATGAGCTGAATTAGCAGAGCTTGACACAGCTGATGATGTCATCCATGTTGGTGTGTAGCGTTGTCTCTTGGGGATGTAAAGTTAACCAAATAAATCATTCTAATTGACGTCCCACCTGGTAAACACCGGAGTCCAAACACGTCTCGACTCCTGGCGCCGATGCTGCTCTGGCTCAGCATCCTCTCCTAAATAAAAACCACAGAAGAAGATGATCAGAATTTTAACCCTTCAAATTCTGCTGGACTGAGACGTCAACCTGAGCAAAGACCATGAACAGCAATAAAATATGAGTTCAATAATAGAAATACAGAAAAAGTATTGCACAACTAATCAAATTTGCATTACAACAGGAATGAAATACCTTATAAGTGTATAGTTTTCATATTTATTTATTAAAAAGGTGAAAATATTATCTTTAAACATCACCTGGTATTTCATAATGCAACGTGGTGTTGAAATCTTATTCGGCACAATGTCATTAAATTCAAACATTCAACACAGACAAATAATCATGTTTTAAAGTTGTACAGACTTGATTTATGGTCAATGATGAGGTCAATAAGCTCTAAACTCAATTTAATGACCTGTTAGTGTTGTTAACCTGACCATCCCAACATCCCCTCCCATGTCAGAGTGTGTGTGCCGCTTTGGTCACATGACTCAAGGTGTGACTTTCAGTAGATACAAGCCAAGGCTGCAGTGTAGGTGTTCAAAAGACAAAACTTGAGGACTGTTCAAGGTTGTTCAAGGTCCTGCACTTTAACTTGTGGAGGTAAAAGTGTCTGTCATTTCCTATGGGCGCTGGAAATGACAGACAGGAAATGCTTTTATCTCGATAAGCAGGAAGTGCCTTTGTAATGACACAGGCACCTTCATGTGGTGGAGGTACCTTAACTTTATATTATTCATCTAAGACAGAGTTTGGTTGGAGACATGAATGCAGTCAGAGAAAATGTCCCTGCTTGCAAGAAGCACAAGACAGCACATCACTCGTATGACGCCATGTCAGGCATTCAGGTGGAACCAGAACTGCAGGTGGAATCGCTCTCCTGAACATGGGGTAGTGAATCGGACTGACCCAAACTGTAACGCTCATTGGAAACGAGGCATAATATGAAACTGGAGCTAACACAAACAGCTTCCTATGAACCAATAAACACCTACACTTCATGAATGGCTAATAAATCAATCGCACCTCTTCACAGGACAGCATGCAGCAGATTAGCTGTGGGATGTGCGGTCTGAAGCTGACGAAGCAGACGGGTAAAGATTGTTCATGAGAGTTGAATCGACTCCTTCGTCCCCATTTGCGATTGTTGGTGGTCTGTACAGTGAACAAACTACATTCAAAATGGAAGACGTGGTGTTTAATCATTTGGTCCAATGTGATTTACTGAAGACAAACATTTCTTAAATACCCTCTAAATGTATTTTGTTTAACAGATTAAGACGACAGAATGCATTTTTATGAGAACCTTTGAAGACAGTTTGTTTTTTTCCCCCCAAACTGACCTGTCAAATTATTTCTGTGTGACGCAAAAATGGAGACTAAGCATCACACTCAACACATGGGGACAGAAGGTTGAGTCACCTTTGAGCAGGACTTGTCCCAGTGGAGTCATTTATAAAGAAAGATCAACACCCCCCACCACCCAGTCCTTAAAGATTCCCAGTTTCCATGCCATCGCTCTGTTTTTTCCGGCTTCCCCTCGATCTTCACAAAATCTCAGGAAGTTGAGTTCAAGCAGAATCCAGCAGAGCCACAAAGACTTTTCGTAACCAGTGAGAGCTTACCGGCACCATATGCTTTCACTTAGCTTTGCTGCCAACAGCCCCCTGAAGCTTTCCCCCCCTATGAGGGCAATCTACATTTACAGGCCGAACACTCATAACAAGCTAAGAGGGGTGCAATTTGATAGGGTGGGGTGATTACACAGGTGGTGTTGAAACTCTTAAATAGAAAGGAGTGAGAAAGAGGAGATCCAAGAAATTCCAGACAGCAGAACCTCAGCAGTTCTGACTGAGCTCAAGCCCACAGTGAAACAATTTATTACTGTTTCATTAAAGGCACCGGCTCTATCGTGAAACACAAGCAAGGCTTTGAGTCAGCAAGGATGTGTGAACAATAACAATGAATCCAGTCAGTCTGCAGGGTGGAGAGGTCTGTTAGCAGGCTGCTGGTAAAAACTGGACTCTCTCTGCTTCATGGTAGAGGAAAAACAAAAAAAACCCAACATGGCTACATGAAAAGGTTGCCAAAAAGTCACCCTTATTCACAGCTGCTTGAAACCCAGAGCTTCTGATTGTTTAACAGAAAACATGTTCTGTAAAAACTGCTTACACATGCACTGAAAATATTAACTAATCGCTTTCTGAATTACACAGTAGGAGAGTGAATGATTGTTTAACATCTTTACGCCGATAATCAGAACAGAATCAAGTCCAAATGCGCTCACAGCTTCTGCAACAAGCTCGTTAGCAGCCAGCAAGTCTTCTGCATGGAAAAACAGCTTTTATTACAAGGCAGCACAATAAAATTCAACTTCATTGTTCCTTTCTCCCACAGTGAGGCTTTGACATGCCAACTCTCTGCATCCACACCCACAGAAAACCCACAGCTGAATTCCTCGGCTCTTTTTAAGTGGATCAAAAGCCATTCTTTTCTTGTTTTGTTGTTGGAGCCGGGTCGACTGAATCAGCCCTCTGAAAGAAGCAGCACCACTGCAGCCAACGCTGCAGCAAACCTCTGGTCATGTGCTCAACAAAAAGGCTTTCCAATTAATAACAACGGCTCTAAATTCATCACATGGTGGTCAAATAAATGCTGGCCGACGTCTCAGTCATAAAACTCAAAATCTATATTCCCTGTGGTTGTTTTTCTCAACGCTTCACTTTCACAATAACTGGCTTCTGAAGTGCCATTATGAGCGTCTTCTCCTCCCTCCCCCACACGCGCTGCCTCCTTGCCCCACTTCTTCGCCGCTCCGTTCCCTCCATTCATTCTCAGGGACGCAGGCCAAGCCTGACTGCAGTTTCCATTCCTCATGCTTCTGCAGACGCTCTGCTTATTCCTGGCTCTGGAAGGAGCACGCTTCTTTTCCCAAACAAAATCAGCAAAGAAAAGGACCAAAAGGAGAAAAAAAAAATACTTTCCATCCGTGCTTCACTGGCTGATACAGACTTACAGAACTAGAACAAAAGTTACATGTTGAGTGGGACTTGGAAGACTAAACAAGCGTGGCATGTTTAGAGCGACTGAAGGATAAAAGCTCCCCTCTCTCTGAACACTGAATGTCTTTCATTGCTTTGTCAGGCTGGCTACTCGTCTCTTTAGTGTTGAACATCCTCTGCAGATCCATATCAGACTTTTTCAGGCCAGTCTGAAAGGCTTTGATCTTTCACCCTCCAAAGAAATCCAGTTTGTGCCACTTTCATAGTGAAACTAAATCAGGTTCATATCAGTTAGTTTTCAAACCATTTGCAGAGAGAATGGGTCATTTTGAATTTTAGACTTTTTTATTTAAGCCTGAAATAAACAGGAAGTAAAGGAACATTGATGGAAAAACGTGTCGATGCTGCAAATCCAGAAACAAACAGTGAAGCCTTCAACTTGCTGTAACCGTCTGACAGCACCGTTAGCTCTCATCGCTAAACAATATTAAAATCCAACAGTAAACACTGCCGTACATTATCACTTCATTAAACAGAGCGCTGCTGTGTGACGTCTGCGTTCCTCGTCACAGCATGCGGATCGTTTCGGGGTCGTAAACTCTTCACAGAAGCCTGACTGCGGTCACATTTACTTAGAAGTATTAACAACCACACAAAAAAAAAAACAATGAAAAATAGTGTCAACATCGGCTGTGTGACTGAAGCCTAAGGTGCAGAGGCAAGAAGTCACACAGGTGAGATGGTGAGTAGGTGTGAAGTGGAGGAGAATCATTGCCCTTGGCCCTATATTAGTAACTACATGAACAATCACTTGTAGCTTCAGTTGAATTTTAGTCGAGCTCACAGACGTCATAAATGACTTGTGGAAAATGCAGTTTTTTGTGAAATTTCTCCGGACTAACATGTGAAAAGGCCATTTGAGTCTGAGCCTCTCTGTGGCGCTGCGATGAAAGTGGCCCAACCCGAACAGGACAGCAGGAAAAACTGCTAAAAAAATCAATGAAAGCAAAAGGATCAAAGTGATGTCAAGTCCTGACCCAAATGTCTGATTGAAATGGTGCAGTGGGACCATGAAGGCTGTGCAGAAATAAATGTCTGCAGGAAAACTTGAACTGAAGCAAAGTGGGAAAGAAAAGTGGAGCGAAATCCAAAATTTCTCTCAAGAAATTAAACACATCTGTTCTGTCCCATTTTGAAGGGAGCAGAGAATTAACAATGTTTAACGATGATTAAGGTTGTTCTGTCCTAACCACACGTTGACATTTTATATCCATAAACGAATTATTTCATATCCATTTGAGTTTCTCTTGGTATGTGGGCCTCCAGAAGGATTATTAATGACAAAAAACATCACATGATTCAATTTAATGGCATATTTATGTCTTTCGTTCTTATATAACATCTTGTTTCCACCGGCTGAGTCTAATTGTTGTTTAGGTTAGAGAAAATAACAGATTATAAGTCAAATCAAAGAAAGGCTGAGTGACCTTCTAATTGGAAATATAATTGATTTGAATCACATAGTTATAATTTCTTTAAAAAAACAAGTTTCAAATATCCTCATAGTGAGAAAGAATCGATAAGGTAAATAAAATCTTTGCGGCTAAACAACCAGGAGAAAATCACAAATTTCCTCAGAAAATAAAAAAAGCATTTTTGTTCTTTGAAGACACACCTGTGTTATTATACTGAATTTATTACAAAGGAAACAGAAGACCCAGCATCTAATTTATTCATGCACAAAACACAAAAAGCCAAAGGGCAAAGAACAAGACTGCCTCAAACAGAAGCAGAAATAGTCAAACTAGGTTATCCACATAAGATGTACTTGCCGCATTGCAAACATGCAATTCTTATTCATCTTTTTCCAAATTCTGATCTAGCTTTAAATCTTTTTGCCAAAATCTTCTGAATATTTCTATCTAGTGATGCTCTATGCTAAAGTGAGATTTGTTTATCACTAAGAATCTCTGCAAAGACATTTTGTATTTAACAAAGCTAAAGTGCTGCACGT